TAAGAAACGCACAGAGTGGTTTATTATGTTCGCGCTTTTTGCCTCGCCATTCCTTCTTCGAAGTTCTTATCTGTCAAGGTTAGAATATTTTTGGCTATGGGGAGAGATAATGGACCCGATCAGACAACCTGCAGATACTTCGACGTGTCTCTTGCTTGTATGGCGATCCCGCCAGATTGGTCGTACAAAACTTGTCTGCAGATGCATGTTCGACGCATACATATATGTACGGAGAAAATGTGCTACCAACACATGCTTGAGGCGCTTCCGCAGATCATTTTGTCATCACGCCTGCAGCGCCACACCGTGCATTTTGTGTGACATTCGAGCAGCGCGACAGACCCGTTTCTCTCGACCAAGGGGGGGGGGGGGGGGGGGGGATAGGGGGCGTGAGCCATAGCCTCCTATATACTGACAAAGACTGGCAGATCGCCACGAGAAGCGACCTTCGAAATGGAAAAGGTGGAGCGGCCCATAACGAATCAAAGAAGAGTCACGTGACCGGCGCCCCGCTGCGGCGAGACGCCGGAACACATTTCTCCCGAGTGAACAAGTTTGTTTCGGTTCCTCGCCGCAGCAAAATTTGTGCGCTGACGTCCAGGTTCACCCTGACTGGATGACTTGTTTACCCTGACCCAATGCATTGAGATCGCTCGGTTGGATAAGCGGAATCTTATCTGTTGCTTTTTGGATGTTGCTAAAGCGTACGACAGTGTTCCCCATTCCTTGCTGATCAAGCAGCTCTAGCAGCTCAACATGCCGGAACCTTGCCAACATGCCGGAACCTAATAAAGCGGCTTTATAATGGAAATCACGTTATGGCCACGTTCAACACAGCTTTTTCTGGTGACGTTCCGATGCGCAGGGGACTACGTCAGGGCTGTCCGTTCTGTACAAGCTATATACATCCGGCATGGAGAAGGTGCTGGAACAAGCAGGCATTGGTTTTACTCTGCGACACATGCAACACGGAAACATGGTCGAATGGCTGCTCCCCGGGCTCGCTTGCGCAGATGATCTATAGTACTGATGGCCGACAATGTATCTGACGAGAAGAAACTGCTAATCGCCTGCGAAGCGGAAGCGGTTCGGCTTCAATTGCAATTCAATGCCAACAAGTCGGCCGTGGTGCTTCGGCCAATGGGCGGAGCAAAGGCCGCTGCCATCGCCCAAAACTCCCTCGCGGTTAGAGCGAAAACTAAATGTGCGACGCAGCGTCGACCTTTCAGCAGACCGCGACGTCACAATTTTGGAAACGACATTTAAAGCGTGAAATGGAAGGGTTCAATCTCGGGGGAGGAAGTGGCCGAGTGGGCTAACGCGTCTCAGCTCGGAGCGTGGAGCGAAAACTTGCGCTGGGAACCTCCTGGGTTCGATCCCCGCCGCCCCCGCGCGTTTCAATCTGGATGAGTTTCGTACCGGCACGCGTTCGTGTGATCACTACTGCGTGATGCACGTTAAAAACCCCAGGTTTGCGGTTACCGCACTCGCCAAATTTCTCATCCGTAGCTAAGAGACCGATTACCCGTTGAGCCGCATCTCCATCAAGGCTGTATAAACATAAAGAGCAAGCCAGTTTTTTTGGGGGGTTCAATCTCGGCGTCTCAGTGACAGTTTGCTCTGGGCCGGCTTGCTAGAACTGCGTCTCAGCTGAGACTGGCTGAAAGAAAACAGTGCAAAGGTCAGGGCGCGCGAGCGGCTTGAGACGCGGTTTGCTTGACTCGTACGCTGGCTTTAATAATAATAATCATTATTATAATTATAATAATAATAACCTTTACTTGTTCAGAAGAGCCGCGGCACCGCAGAAAGGCAACAGCCCGTATCAAGGAGGCCCGCGGCGCCACGTCTAGTGATGATCGATGAAATGATGTAATATAAAAGATGAAAGTGATAATAATTATGATATGTGTGTTTATGACATGTGCGAAGAATGCCTAGCAGCATTCTTCGCGGTGGTGGTCTTCGCGGTGCTGCCATGGGCTGCTTACTTCGAGCAGGCCGGTCTCGCGTGTCCGACTTGCGTAGGGCCGTAGCTCTCAAGTTTCGAACAGCGCTCCAGGTGAGAAAAATGGAATATCTAGCTCGCGTTTCGAACATGCATCAATACGCTTCCCCACTAGAGCCAGTACTTGTTGGAGAAATACGTGAGTATGAGTAACCATTCCATTAGCCACTTCATTACATGTTATGCCACAGTGACTAGGTACCCATTGAAATTATATGGAATGTGCTAGTGAGACAATATATCAAAGTGAGTTTTGTGTATTTCTAAAATTAGTTGCCGGTTTGTACTATTTTTCCATAGATGCTGTAGTAAGTGGAGGGCTGACTTAGAGCCGTTGATTAATGGTCAAGCACGAGGGGAGGCTCCTAGGACGTATCGAAGTGCTTCATGGATGGCCACCAGTTCGGCAACAGTAGAGCATATTTGATGAGAGAGTTCGTAACCGGCCTTCAGACGAAGCGCTGGTGCCAGGAATCCAATAAATGATCTATTCTGCGCCATCACTCCCGAAATCCAGTATTTTCCCCCTTTTCCTTGGTGCTGTCACCGTCGTGTACTTGTTTGGAGTCAGGACTACTCTCCACTTCAGCGGTGTGGAACTATCCTGCTTCTCAGTTTCTGATTTTCACCGCCAGGTTGTGGAAGGTTTGTCTTCGCATTTCGATAGGCGCGACCTCCCTAGTTTCTAAATGACGGGCGTTTTTTGTGACTGGGTTTCGATACCTTCTTTGTTGTCACAAATAGCTGTACTCGATTAACATTGAAGTTTGGGCTTATTGGTATACATACATAATAAAAAAAAGAAAACAGGCCAAAAATGAGGACGGAGTCAAAAGAAATCCACAGGAGACAGCGCAGTGTCCTGTCAGTTACCTTTTACTTTGTCCTCGTCTTCGCGCTGTTTTTGTTCTTATAGGTGTACTCCGTCCCACCGTAACTTGGTAAACGACAAAGGCTACGATCTTACTGAGCCAATCAGCGTGTCGGAGGGGAGACACTTGACTATATTGGACTCTATCTCACCAGTTCTGCGCAGTGATATCATCTTCAAAAAGTGGAATGGCTCATTATTCGTTTTTTTTAAAAATGTATTTCTAAAAAAAAAATGAATGGGGCAGGCATTAAAAATATTAAAAGGATAAAGGGTAACCTCTGCGGAGTGAGATCAAATGCTCGATATGCCTATTTTTGTTAGGATTCTCTTTTTTTCTTTTTTCTAGCCGTGGCGAGCAAGGTGGCGCTGCTTCCAGGACCGATCGTGCTGTTCTTTGCGGACATGAATTTCGGGACCGGTCTCGCCAGTGCGGCGATCGTCACACTTACCTGTCTAGCCCACCATATTTGGGCTGCTTCACTTGTGAAGCTATGCCCTGACAGCGTAGCCCAAGGTAGTTGACGCCGAGTATATACGAGTTGTCTCACACAACATGAGAACTGTTGCATTGTCATTGTTTACATCCTATCTATTCGCTGTCATCAAGCCGATAGCAGTTTCCCTGTTGACGTCACTAGTCGTGGCGTTCTCTATATATCTGTGTTCGAAGCAATAAAGGGGGCGTTGTCCCATACTGGCTACCACCGGAGCGTGTCATACTCGCGTCACGCCTGGCCGAACGGCGGATGGCAGCTAAGACGTAACAGTGGCGACGAGCTGAACTCACTCAACGGGCACGACAAGCAAGGACAGCCCAAGAATGGCAACTGCGGCCACGGCGTTTCAAGTTCCCGTCTTCCACGACGCAGAAGATAAGTGGGAAACTTATGTTGTTCGAGTTGAAGCCTACTTTGAAGGAAATGCTATTACCGAAGATAAGAGGAAGCGCGCACTGTTGGTAGCCGCGCTCGGCTCCAGGCCGATTGGAATACTGTGCGGAATATGCGCGCCTCGAAGGGTCAACGAACTGACGTACAAGGAAGTTGTCGGCATCCTGGGTCGACACTACGCGCCCAAGCCTAACGAAATAGCTGAAAGCTACAAGTTTTTCAATCGGCAACAGCGGGAAGGCGAGTCGGTACAAGACTTCATCGTGGAACTGAGGAAAATTGCGGAAAATTGCAATTTCGGAGACAGCTTGGACCGCATGCTGCGGGATCGCATTGTTTGCGGAGTGCGAAACCAGACAGTTCAACGTCAACTACTGGCAAGGCGAGACCTGACTTTGGCAGAGGCAGAAGATTTAGCTACCGCGGCAGAGGTAGCCACAAAGGAGGTAAAGAACATGGAAAGCCAGGAGGTGAAAAATGAAGCGGAGCTACACAGAATAGCCGGAAAGTCCCGAAAACAGCCAGACCTGGGAAGGAGGTACAATACAAGGAAAGAAGAATGCGAGCGATGCGGAAGCAGTTCACATGCACGGGACGCGTGTCGGCACAGATTCGCCAGATGTTTCCGATGCGGCAGACAAGGGCATTTCGCGAAGAAATGTGGGGCGGATAATGACGTTGCAACTCCAGGACGACCAATCTCGACGATTGCAGCTGCGACGGCGTCAGAGGGAGAGGACCTGGACTTGGCATCAGTGTACACGGTACAACCTCGAACACGGGCAAGTTTTGAACCGCCGGTCCGAAGGCAGATCTCCTGGGGGGGAGTACGACTGACCATGGAAGTCGACACGGGCTCTGCTGTTTGTGTTATTCCCCGTGAAGTGTACAATGAGCACAAGGACCATTGGCCGGCGCTGTCGGCAACCAAGCTGAGTCTCCGATGCTACTTGGGACAGCTGCCCATCCTCGGGGAGCTACACATGAGGGCGACCGTCCATGACGTCACGGTGCCGGCTTCGCTCGTGGTTGTGAACTGCCCCGGACCAAGCCTGTGTGGTCGAGACGTAATCGGCAAACTGAACTTACTGGACCCTCTGGTGTCAAGCGTGGTTGCAGGCTCAACGAGAGAGCTGGAAGACCTGCTGTTGCAGTTTCAGGACCTGTTCGAGCCAGGCCTGGGAACCATCAAGGGGCCACCGGTACGTTTTCATTTGAGGGAGGGAGCGGTGCCGAAGTTTATGAAGGCACGACCTGTTCCATACGCGCTTCGCGACAAAGTGTCAGAGGAGCTGGATCGGTTGGTAGAGGCCGGAGTTATCTCACCTGTAAGCCATTCGGAGTGGGCAGCACCGATTGTACCGGTGCAGAAAAAGAACGGCTCGATACGCCTGTGCGGCGATTTTAAGTTGACAGCGAACATGGCGTGCAACACAGAGCAGTATCCGCTACCTAACATAGCTGATATGTTTGCGTCGTTGCGGGGCGGTTCTTTATTTAGCACCTTAGACCTTAGGGATGCTTACAGCCAGGTGGCATTGGATGAAGAGTCGAAGGAATTAACAGTCATCAACACCCATCGTGGCCTTTACAGCTTCAATCGCCTTCCGTTTGGAGTTGCTTCCGCGCCGGCGATTTTTCAGAGGAAGATGGAGAGCATGCTCGCAGATCTGGAGGGCGTGCAAGTGTACCTGGACGACGTCCTGGTAGCGGAACAACCGGGAACCGACAACCTGAGCAGGGTGCTGCAACGCTTCCGGGACATGGGTGTCAAGCTTCGGCGATCAAAATGCCAATTTAGGAAGCCGGACATCACTTACCTGGGCCACCAGATCGACAAGGAAGGACTACATCCAATCGAGAAAAACTTGGAGGCCATCCGAGATGCACCGACGCCGTCAAATGTAAGCGAACTTCGCTCCTTCCTTGGGCTTCTGACGTATTATCACCGATTCTTGCCCAATATGTCGACGCTGCTAGCACCGTTATACGAGCTGCTCGGCAAGGATCAAAGGTGGAATTGGGGACCAAGGCAAGATAAGGCCGCCAAACAGGCCAAGGCCGCGCTGCTGACATCACCGGTCCTGACATTTTTTGACCCTGAGAAGCCACTGCGACTGGAATGTGACGCGTCCTCAACAGGAGTGGGCGCCGTCCTATCGCACAAGATCCGGGGTGTCGATACACCGATAGCTTTTCGGTCAAGAACATTGACCTCCGCCGAAAAGAACTATTCGCAACTAGAAAAGGAGGCACTTGCGTTGATCTTTGGCGTAATCAAGTTCCGTGATTATTTACTAAGACGCCAATTCGTATTAGTCACGGACCATCAACCACTTGTGGGTCTGCTTCGAGAAGACCGGCCTGTCCCGCTACTGGCGTCTGGACGGATTCAAAGGTGGGCTCTGCTACTCAGCGATTTTCGGTACAAAATAGAATTTCGACCCGGCAAACAAAACGGAAACGCTGACGCGCTGAGTCGATTGCCACTTCCACGGCAAGGACCACCAGTGGAAGAAGACCTCCCGGAATTTGTGCTGACGTTGCACCGCGTAGACGAAGCATTTATGTCCGCGCAGCGGCTAGAAGACTTGATGAAAACAGACGATACGTTGTTGCAGGTCATCAAGTACGTGCAGAACGGCTGGCCTGCTAGCCTTCTGAAGAACCAGACAGAGGTACAGCCTTATTTTTCCCGGAAGCTCGAGCTGTCTACGTGCCGTGGGTTACTTTACTGGGGCCGGCGCCTCGTGATTCCGACACGGGCCCGCCCGGACATCCTGAAGCTGCTGCACGAATCTCACCAGGGGGTATCAGCCATGAAGAGAAATGCGCGGTCGTTGTTTTGGTGGCCGGGACTGGACCGGGAGGTGGAACAACTGAGCGGAAATTGTAACGAGTGCGTACAAGCCGCCCCAATGCCGTCTGCGTGCTCGCCGGTGAATTGGCCAGAAACAAAAGAAAGATGGTCGAGAGTGCACATCGATTTTGCAGGATCAGTTGAGGGAAGGATGTTGCTGATAGTCGTCGATTCCCATTCCAAATGGATTGAAGCTTGCATCATGCGATCAACAACGGCAGAGGCGACTGTGAATCAACTCCGAGAACTGTTCAGCAGGTTCGGTCTGCCCAGAACAATCGTTTCTGATAATGGACCTCAGTTCATTAGTCAGCATTTTGAAGATTTTGTGAAAAGAAACAATGTGTGTCACCTCCGCTGTGCGCCCTATCATCCTCAGTCTAACGGGTTGGCTGAACGGGCAGTCAGGACGATCAAGTTCGGCCTTGCTAAGTTAACTGGGGGAGATTTGGGAAAAAGGCTGGCGCAGCTTCTGATAAATTATCGCCGGACGCCTTTAGCGTGTGGCAAGTCCCCAGGGGAAATACTTCTCGGGTACCGCATTCGTTCGCGCCTGGACATGAGTGTACCGTTCCGGCCTGCGTTATTGTCCGACGATGTGCAGGTTCAAGGAGACTCCTGGGACCTTGGAGCACCGGTGTGGGTCCGCAACTTCGGCCAAGGTGAAAGATGGTCACCGGGGACCGTCCAGAACAAGCTCGGGTCAAGGATGCTGGTCATCGAGACTCCGGAGGGAACAGTCCGTCGACACATGGACCAGGTCCGCGGCAGACAAGGTCCGACTGAAAGTCTGGGTGGCCCTAAAAACGGTTCGGACAACGTCGGGCCGCCAGTGACACTAGGACAGCCGGACAGCCAGGGGCCACCGAGCGAGCAAGACGCGCCAGCCCCCGACGGTCAAGACCAACCAGCCTTACGACGCTCAACGCGGACACGGAAACCGATCGATCGTTTGCAATATTAAGAGGAGAAGAAATGTTGCATTGTCATTGTTTACATCCTATCTATTCGCTGTTATCAAGCCGATAGCAGTTTCCCTGTTGACGTCACTAGTCGTGGCGTTCTCTATATATCTGTGTTCGAAGCAATAAAGGGGGCGTTGTCCCATACTGGCTACCACCGGAGCGTGTCATACTCGCGTCGCGCCTGGCCGAACGGCGGATGGCAGCTAAGACGCAATTCAAGAAAGTGACAAAAGAGGCACTCGATAATTTAGGAAAAACACATTACACGCTTTATTGACAGAAGAAATGCTAGCGATACTCCGTGACGCACCGGAGTGAACAATACTTAGTCCTCTGAGGTGTACAACTGCAACGAAAGAGAGAAAAACACGTCATTAATGACTCATCTTGAAAGGAGCATCACGACTATTTTAGGTTTCTAGAAAGGCATTTTTTAAAGTCTGATATTAGGCTGTAGTCACTGGCAGCTAGCTGGCAGGGCTTAGCTGATTCCAGACATTCTTATTATCACTCCTCAGCCAATACGATTGCGAATCAAGAAGCCTAAAGATAATGAGGCCGTGCCCTGCGTTTTAGAAGTTGTGAAGACTATGTACGAATAGGTCAAAATAAAAAACAAATGCAGGGATATCTACTTGTGTAAATACTACACGCGTCCCCATTTGGGAAACGCTAAGGCTGACCCCGTCACTTTTTCTTTTGACTCTCGCTTCTTCTATTTTTCGCTGCCTCTTTTTGGCCTCCTTACGGGGTCAATGTTAGCGTTTTTCAAGGTTCATGCTAACGGATTCCCCAAGAAGACACCAATGAATCTTCCTGTAATTGTTTTCACCCCATTTTTGTACTCTGGCTGTCAGAGCACGTCTATGCTCTTGGATACGGTCATCCATATCACGTGCGAAAAGAACCGCATCCACACCACTCGTGGAAGGGAACCGCATCTATATCACTCGTGGAGTGGACTGCATCAATCGTTTTAACCACAGACACATATCCCAGCCCACGCACCGTTACTACAGAAACTTAGAGCGAAGAACAACCGGCGACAGGCAGAGCGGCAACCGAGCACTCCCGCATTCCACCGCGCCGCGGCGCAACATCTCCTAGATAGCAAAGCCGTAGTACTGAATAAGATAGCGCCATCAGAGGAGGCCAATGCTGGGAACAGATTGGACGCAACGATTGCGTCCAAAAGCCTCAACACGACTCTAAGAAACTGTTTCCTACATTGCAATTATCTAGCCAAGAGAAGAAAAAACGTTCACGGGCATAACCATTAAAATTGTCCGGAAATAAAAAAGGTCGGTCTTTAAATACATGTCTTGCGTGTGACGTCATCGCGCCATCGTGGTAGTCTTTCCTCCTACTTCTTGCCGAGAACAACCAATTCGGCTTCGCCAAATGCATACTGCGAAACGTACGCGGTCAACAGCAAGGTCATTAAAATACCAGCTAGTGTGATGTTAGGGTAAGCAAATCATGTATTGAGCTACCTCTAACACGAGTCAGAAGCTCATGTGCCACCAGAATTTCATTTGGGGCTGCAAACCCGTGCTGGACTCAAGGCAACTGAAAAATAAATACTTTGGACTCCTGAAGAGTTGTATCACTAAATATAATTGCAAATTAAAAATTAAAAAAAGAAATTGTTTTATTGGTTTACAGCACGACAACTCCAGAGGCGTCCTCAATTACGTTAGCGCGAGAAAGGACAACGTTCTGACAAAAATACAAAAAAAAATGCTTCCCAGACAATGGAAGGATTATGATAACAAGACTGGTCGTAAAATCCACAAGGGTAACAAAACAAGAGGAAGTTGCAAGTTAAGGCCAATGGAGAGGCAACGTTACAACGTGAATCGGCGGTTACCACATCCGCGCTCCAAGTCCGGTTCAAGAGGCAGTGAACGTAAAAAGATGATGAGTGCAATGCATACATAAACACTCGGCTATACACAATGCCGATGCGCCATGAATGCGTAGAGTGGCACCCCTCCTGTTGACGTTTCAGGGTGATAAAGACAGGGCTATAAGCGCATTGGGGTTTTTACGTTACTGAATTGTGTCATGACATACTTCTTTAGTAGTTCTCTTTTTTTTCTCTTTTACATATCTCTATCTCGTTTTTATATCTAACTTTTGGAGGACTTTGCATATGTAATTAAAAAATTAAACTTTATCGGACCACTAGAGTTTATGCTTTCCTCAATATCTCTACCTCCACAAGAAAATATAAAAATGTTTATATAGGTTTGTTTTCTTTCTTGAAGTGAGCACCTACCTCTTTATGAAGCCTAACATTCATGACATTTTATTACGGGGTGACCCGTTTATGTTCGCTGTCATAAAGAGAATCTGAGATCCTTCGAGAGATGGCTTCTTTCTTATTCCGTATTTAGTTCATATCTTCCCATGAGTTTGGCAACAATATTACTACAAACAAATAAATAAATAAAAGAATCTACCTGCTCGGCAGGGCATGAAATATTGAATTGTTTCGCTAAGTCTTATAACGGGAAATACAGAAATAAACTTTAAAAAAAAGTCCTTGAGTTAACGTTTTTGAAGGGCATAAATCAGCCAATCTCGAAGAACAAGAGAAGGATGCCAGTAAATAGCGAAACACGAAATACAATAAGACAAAAGAAAAAAATAAGAAAAAAAAAGATGTGCGAAATGTCAGTGAGCCTGACATTTCATTTGCTTATTCCTCTGCACATCCTGTTTTTTTTTTACATATAGCGTATTTTAAGTTTTGAAATTCGTTGGGGTCCCTTTCATTGCTCGCCGGGATTGGGTGTCTCCGTGTACTGCAGAAAAGTTAACCCAAACACTTTTTTTTTTGTTTATAGTGTAGCATCATTTGGTAGGGTACACTACACAAACTCCCTCATCTCCCCTCCCCCCCCCCCCCCCCTTCTTAAAAAAAAAAATACTTCCGAAGACAGTGACGATGATACCGTACTCTAAGAAACTGTATGCCGAAAAGGGTGGCAATAACTAATAAAACGACACCGCACTCTGTAAGAAACCCTGTGCGCCTACTTTCCTGCAAAGTGCTCTGAAAATCCAATCGCTGCAACCTACGGAGAGAGCTGGGCGAATGATCAGGCTGAAAACAAAACAAAAATTACCGTCCGTGCCTTGGCAATGAACATTACGTTTCGCGTGCTTACATCAAACGTAAAGTAACAGCACAGACCGTTTTCTGGTCGAGACATTTTCAGCCTCGCCATTCGCCTGCCATCCTCCGCAGCCGGCAGTGATTGCCTCTTCCAAGTGCTTTACTACAATGAAGACGCGCCAGATTTCTGAATTACTCAATTAATCAATTACCGCGAGAGGCACCCTCGGAGGCAGAGCTCGGCAGGCCCGACAGATGGCGATGGGTGTGAGGTCGGGGCCGTGCGAGCAGTCGCATTGCTCGCAGAAGTCCCTGTCTCCGCCGCGCGGCTGCAGAGACTTGACGATGCGCTTGGCGAAGACCGTCTTCCAGTTCTTGGCGTCGGAGCGCAGGGCCTTGGTGCTGAAGAAGCTGCCGTGAACCTCCTGGGCGAGGGCGATGCACACATCCTTGGCGACCGCCACCTGGGGTCGGAGGTCGGGCTGACCCATGAGCAACCGCTGGCTCACATCCTTGCTGCCGTAGACGGAGTCGGCGTCCAAGCCTGAGGTCCAGAGATAACGGTTACCCGATTACTACGACGAAAACAATTTAGATTCTTCTTTTTTATAGGGTGTCCACAATTAATCCCGGCGCTGTAAACCGAGTAGGAAGAATCTATGCCAGAACGTAGAAAGCCACAACTTTCACCGAAATTGCTACTAGGTGGTGCATTTTAACTGACGAAATGTTAGGGCGTAGCTTCCTTCCTGTGCTAAAGGAACCGAACCAACTCGCCAGGATCAACCGCGGACGTGTTCGCAGACGATCGAGTTGAGGTCGACGTCGAGCGTTGCACGCGCGGCTTAGCACAGCGAACATCAATACTGATTGATCGCAGATATCGAGTTCCTGCTCGCCAGAAAATGAAAGACCCGCGTTCTGCGCTACGCTATGTTCGCTGCGCTCAAACGTCCGAATATAACAGAGCCTTTAGCGATGGTTTGACTCGTGGCGCCATCACCCAACAGAAGCAGCGAGCGGATGACGCACTCTGTCATCTGCTCGCTGCGCATGTCGGTAGATGGCGCCAAAAATTACAACCATCGCTAACTCGGTTGTCTGCGTGCACATTCGCCGTTGACCCTGGCAGGTTTGTTGGTCTCATTTTTTAGGGGCGAAGCTCCTAGGGTATAGCCTTGTCCGTCGGGCGTCCGTGTTCACATCGATTGCCATCTCATCTTTATTCTTAAAAAAGAAAAAAAAATGTTTGCGCAGTCGCCAGAATTCGAACCTGTGCGGGGAGACCCCAATGGATTTCTAGTCCATCGCCTTAACCACTCGGCCACGACTGCGGGACGAGTAGGGGGCTCTGAGATGTGGCAGTAACTCAAGAGCTGGGGATGTCATGGATGAAACGTTGCATGTAGCCGCTCAACGTCTATACAGGAGTGGGGCGCTGCGGTCGAATGCGTATATAATCGCGTTAAACTCTGCATGCATTGGCTCAACGTTTATAGACGAGAGGGCGCTGCGGTCAAATGCTCAAATGCATATATAACCACGTTCCATACCACACATTCTCTTTCTGACATCAGCACTACCTATGAACAAAATCAGTATCATCAGCACCCACCAGAGCTTCGCCCCAATCAACATCATTCACCACGTGGAGGTGCAATCTTTTTTTTTTTTTTTCACGGGGAGGAAGGCGAAAGCCTGTCCTGTCTGTTTGTCTTAAATGTACCTCTTTCCTTATCGTAAAATAAAAGAAAACTGCGTTTTGAAATTTCACAAGTAAAACGGACCACTTCAGTGCACCTTCGACGAAAGTGTGAGTGTTCTATGTGCAGGCGCCGATCTTTTCGGCTCGCTTTACAGCGTAGCACTCCCTGTGCGCTCTATATATTATACCATGTACATTCCAACTTATGGTAGTTTTTTAACCACTTGAAAGAAACTGCTGTTAGATTACCCCAAAAGATTCCAATACAAGCTGTTCTTTTTGTGTAGGATATAGACAATAAACGCTATCCAATTTTGACAATTAACTCTCCCCTGATAAATAGCTAGAATACACTTATTCATTCTTTCGTAAAAGAAAGTCAATCTATTCCACTACATCAATAGTGACAGATGACCCAGTTGGTACATGACTTATTTTGACTCTAGCTTCCACTAGTCGATGTTTTATTCCCCACACCGCCAGCTTTTGTAACTAAAGCACAAACCAGGCAACATCTTCGAAAAACAAAATGACGTCCGTACCATAGATGCCTTTCCCCTTGATGATACTCTTGCGTACTTCAATGGGCTTGTCGGAAACCAGATGCAGCGTTATTCCGTGCTCCAAAAGTTGGTTTTGGATGTCGGAGTAGGAGAGCTGCGAACAGAACCAACATAAGTCGTTAGGCCACATATTGCAAGGAGATACAAATCGCACAACGATGCAATAAAAAAAAGCCCTCTGAGTAGATATTTTTTTAGAAACACAAAACAATGAATCAAGGACAACAGAAACTTCTTAGCGAATGGCGAAGCTGGGATCCTCCTGTGTTCGTCATGACCGACTGTTCCTGTGTTCTGTAGAAAAGTAAACTCGCAGACATTTTAGAGTGCATTGACACAACGCTAATGCGAAGTCAAATTGCTAATACATCATACAAAAGGCCGTCCGCTAACACTCTCTGGGTTTTTTTGGTATGACAATCCTGTTGCATTAGTTCTACCAAAACTGTCTGCAGGCATATTTGAAGCATGCCAATGAATGAAGCCTTCGATCATGCTTGAAGAGTGTCCGCAGAAAATTTTGTCATCACATCTGCAGCGTACACCCCGTGTCTTGTGTACAATGTACGAGGACTGTGGGTGCGGCTTTACGCGAACAAGGTCGGCATGGAGCTGCATACCTCGCTCCTCTCTTCGTCGCAGTCCGCGCAGGCCATGACGACGATGGTCTTGGAGACACCAGGACGGAAGGGCATGACGGACGCGAAGCGGATGGCTTCGAAGATGTCCTTGTGGGTCTCGTGGGCGGGCGCAGCCACGGGCTCGAGCCTCATCTTTTCCGTCGCTAGGGGAAGGTTGTGCGACTCGAAGAAGACGCTGCCGCGAGCGGTTCGGACGTGCGGCATGCTGTTCCTGCCGCTGCCGTGGCCGAATCCGATGAGAGAGAATCTGCAACGCGTCGGGTGAGAGAAACGTCAAGAGGAACAGACTCGGTACACTGTGGTCGGCAAAGGCAGAGTGCAGAAGAGAACTTACAGAGAAGAACAAAGTTGCGAGAGAGAGGAATGGGGTGTTGAGAGAAACCAACAAAGGTGGGGAAGAGGCAGCGGCAGTGGTAAAAGTGGCAAAACACTATACTCCGTTTCAGTTTAAGTCCGACCGCAGGTGACACCAAGATTGGATGGAGCCCAGTAAGTATCGTCCTAGTTATGTTGCGCCAAAGGTACATTGTGAGTATGAATGACTCAACCAATCAGGCACGGAACACTGCAAAGAATCGCGGCATATTCATTGTGCGTCATTGTTCTAGTCGGTGATTGCAAACACACGCAGAGACGGTGAGCGCCTCGGCTATTCGCTTCTCTGGAATCCTTCAACCCAGCTGCTGGCTTTTTGTTCCCGTGTCACGTGACTGATTTGTGATCGAAGTACAGGCTTGTTGTTGGGTATACGGTCGTGAGCGTTCGGCTGTGTTTAGCTCATTACAACAGCGATCCTCATTAGGTAAGCCATTTTGTTTTTAGCGTTTTTAGACGATTTTTTCATTGGTCCAAGTTCCAAGGAGCTGGTACTAATTGGACCTACTTAGATCTGGAGCAAGGAGCTTTTATGGCGGGAGTCCGCGAAGTAAAGTGGGGGCGACATTTTATACCATGAGACACCAAAGAACAGTGCAATATCTAAGGGTTGCAAGCATTGTTTCGCTTTTTGCTTTTAGCTATGGTCCTAAAAAGCAAACAGTATTCTACAAAATGCATGCTGAAGTTGTTTTTTTTTCTTTTTTCTTAAACAATTTAAACAATCTACGGTTCCCGTAAATAGCGCCGTCCGGTCAGCTTTCCAAGACACTCTAATGGGGCTGAAACTGGCATGTGTGCATTTTGAAGTATGCTTGTGTTTGCTCTTCCGTGCGAGCGTCGAGGTACCACGAGCATTCAACAGATGGCCCTTTTCGGCTCAAACTGGGTAAAGCCGCATTGAGGAATGGATGAATTCTAGGCTCGGTTGCGCGAGCTACCACCCATCTATCATGAGTACAGCCATTATCATCCATCCATCCATCGACAACGGCGGCTTGGTCAGCTGCCAATCTTTCCCTTACACACCCCTCTGTAGTAACTGACGGCTTAAGAAACGTAGAGTGTGGCTCATTATGTTCATAATTCTTGCTTTGTGATTTGTTCTTTTTCATTTTTGCCTGTTCATGCCCGAATCTCATTGACAGTGAAGCGTTAATAACACGTTAATAACACGCACACGCAAAAAAAATGCTGAGTCACCAAGCTGTGGGCGCATGCACGGCGTCTGATACGTCAAAAGTGAGATCTACTGCAGACGACCAGAATGCGTTCCAAAGATGGCAGCGCACAGAGGGAGATCAGTGGATATGGTCTATAAGGAGTATTCACTGTGCGCCATATTTGTGGGTTATGTCTAAAGCGCATGCTCTGAACGAGCCCACATTAATAGGCTGCTAAGACCGGCAGTCTTGATGGTGTGGAATGCATGTTGCAAAAGAACCGGGGAAAGCTCGCCATGAGCACGCGCTCAGCAGTCGCGGACACAGCTATGACCGTCAGTGAATACTTCCTATACTCGAGTCTGGGAGCGGATGGATTGTGGACTTTTCCGTCTACAAAATTGGTCACTGACAGAGCGAGAACGAGTGCTCGAGACGCCAAAGCGTTGTCGAAGGCAAGAAACTCGCGCTGGAGGCGGGACAATCGAAGCTCCTCCCTGCCGTTCTAGCTCTGTCGGTGACCGCATCTGCACGCATGGGCTCCGTGACAAGCACCTACCGGTTGTTGGAGAAGCCGGCGGCAATGAGCTCCTTGTCGACGAGTCTGATGGTGCTGTCGAGTTCCCTGACGACGTCGGCGTGGCAGGCGTCTTCCTCAACGACCAATACGACGTCCATGCTGGTGGGAACGGTCTCGATGTGCGTCGTTACGCCGAAGCCCAACTTTTTGTCGGCCCCGATCTGGCACATGACTGAGCGAAGCAAGCAAACAAACATGCGACTCGCGGTCACGCTTCAGTCCTACCTGATATTAAGACAATCACTCTAAGGCTATCAGTCCATCGCACACGTCACGAAGAGACGTGGGAAGTATCAACAGCCCGTACTAGTAATGATTTAGCATTATTACGGCACGCTTGAAGCGAATATAGTGATCATCACTGGGAAATAAAGAAAAAAATATGTTAACTAACATTGTATACGACTGCGAGAAAGTGTTACGAAATGCGTCTTCGGTGCGTCGGAACGCAGGGAGGAAGGAGCACAGCAATCAAAGGGCAACATAGAAAAATTCTAGTGAACACGCGATGACGAGACAGCTTAGAACGCGCCTCCACTGCATGATTCAGGCAGGGGGAGGGGGGGGGGGGGACAGCACGCGGGAGCTTTTGGGAGATAAACAAACGCACAAGGAGTGCAAGCAGCAGACAACCTTGCGCGCAGTAGTACGTACTATCTAAAGTTCCATGTGTTTCCTGCAGTATGTAGAGTCGTGTATGAGTTTGAAATTGCTTTTCGCGTCGCTAGTGTCTATATCACTGAATTGATAGGGGGATTTGTGCTTGTGTTTCTGGTTTTATTTCTGTAAGTATCCATTAGTGCAATAATGTGAGCAGCGGTGCTCGTGTTCGCGTCTTAGTCTTAGGGTTTTGTTTCTTTGTTTCCAATGTTGCTTTTCCGCCAAAGTGTGTTAGGGAGTCAGAACCTCATTGAGTAGCAACGGCAGCCTTTTGTCCTGGTTTCCACCTTACTGTGGAAACTGAAAAGGGAAATAAAAGGCTCGCAAAACATTGCCTTGTAATAAATTGTATGTGCACCAACGAGAATGGCACTCGTTACTTTCGCGGCCCCCGAGCCCCCTGAGTGAATAAAATAAATGAATTAGTATATACAATTCAGGATCGTTTAGAATCGTTACAGAGCATTCCACGGATTACTAATTAGAGAAACTTTCATTGATAATCATTCAGTACCCTCTTGCACGGTACTGCAATGCATTGTATAGAAACAAAACTAGATCACTGGTCGATACGGTGGTAAAAATAGCAGTTTGTACAACAGAACCTGCAGGTCCACAAACGACGAAAGCAAGGCACGTTGCGTACAAAATAAAAGTAAGTGTGCTATACTTCGGCCACGACTAACTTCGGTAGGAAGCAACATATCGGAAGCCAAATAAAAAAAAAAGGTTTTATTACCAAAAATGGAAAAAGCTTTATGTTTGTGCGTCAGTAATTTTCCTTCACGGGGCTTAGTACCATTACAGTCACTGCAGCCAGTCATGTACAGGTTACTCGAAAAAAGTAATCGATTACAATTAAAATTACACTTGGCTAAAAAACGTATCCAATTACATTACTTGGTTACTTGAGAAGAAGCTTAATTGACCGTTACGTGGAAAAAGTAGCCGTTACCTTTCCGATTACCTGATTTTCAAAACGACATATGTTTCTGCCGCTTTGAAAACAGCGAGTCTTTCGTTCTGGCCACTGTTGGATTAAAAACACCTAATTAGAAACTACTCCTTTTCTTAATCCCCCAATTTTGGTACACCATCCTTTTGTCGGGGACTTGGAGGATTTCCTGGTAGGAAACTTGTACGAATGAAGGGAGCCATTTGAAACGGGGAAGAAAAAATAATAGCGTTCATAACTAATTTCAGTACTTTCAAAAGTACACAGATTACTCACATGATTACTTCCTAATAAATTTAATAAAATAATCTTGAAATTGCTACAAAAAATAATCGGTTAGAAGTAATTTGAGTACTTGTATTAAGTACCGTACAAGCCTGGGCGTCAGTGCATGTAGGATGACAAAGACCCTATTTTTTTGTCTTGGAACAACCTATAAACTTTTTTTTTATTCAAGTAATTTCTTTTCCCAGTGCAGCTTCCCTACAAGTTTTTATACGCTTTTCTTAAGAGTCCAGTGTAATTAAAGAAGAAAAAAAAAACGTGGTTCTGTATTTGAGGAAAAAAAAAAACACCCTTAAATCGTCTTCATTTGGCCTCCGGAGTCAGGAATATCAAAATTATATTTCCGAGTGATGTGTCGAGTAGCCGCACCAGAGCTTTGAAAATAGCGCTGAAGCCCCGCCTCCTTCCCCGAGCGTTCGGTGGGCAGTTAAGTTACGCAGAGATCTTAACATTCCCGCGCCTTCCGCGAACCTTACCCGAGCAGTCAAAAGTGATACACACGTTCCCTCACAAACGGAAAATCGAATTCACGTGATAAAAATATGCGAAAAATCATCTCCATCTCGTCTTTTTTTTTTTTCAAAATTTCTAAGATTTTTTTTTTTAATTTGCATAGCATTGTGTGTTTAACGCGTCTTTGAGTGGTCGTAGTTGGCTGTTCGCATCGCGAGACGAAGCCCGAAGACAATGCTTGGACATTTCGTTTTCTTAGAAGAGGATCTAACCCACGTAGCACGTCAGAGAAACAACACTATGGCCCAAGTTTTGCAATCCTAGGGCCTTCATTTGGGCCCAATAAGGCTTTGCTCTAAGACGTCAGTTAGTACCAAAATGCCTTTCTTTGACTTCGGTATTGTTTTACGATGGTTCGCCACAGAATCGCCAAAGTACCAGACGTGAGCCAAAAGGGCCACGCGGCAACCAAACAACCACCGGCGAATCCTAACTGTGGTACTTGTTTGGCAAATTAGGCCCAAAAATGCTAGGTGAAAAGCGAATAACAAGACGTGAAGCCATTTCCTAGGGAACAGAAAATCCAAAAACGCCAGATGAAAACAAAAAAATTATGGTAAGTGTTTAGAAATGTGGGACCAAAACAGCCAGATTCTGACCAAATAATGTCAAGTTAGGTTATACCTTGACTTTTCTGGTCTTTCGGTGCTCTAAATTGCAAACAACAAAAACTAATTTTGGGCCAAAATATTTGTACTACTTGGGAAAGAGATACCAATGAGGCGAGGTAGGCTTACGACACTCAGTCGGTAGGGTGGCCATGATGGAATACTTCTCCAGTTGGAGCAGGTATGCGAGAGAGACGTTGCAGACTGCCTTCATGGGCTCCTGGTTGGTGGGTAGCGCTGCCATGTGCCGTAGGCAGAGGTCGAAATACGGCTTCGGGGACTCCTGCATGTAGCGACGCAAGACGTTGTCATCCCTGAGAAAACGAACTCGCATCGCTCTCCGAACACGACCAAACTACTGAAAGGCCACGTGCAATATCAAGGGGTGTCTAGAGTGACGTCATTGTGCAAGATGGATTCGTATTTTAAGGTAAGGACTCTGGGTTTGATCTGGTTAAGATGGAAGAGTATTAAAGGGGAGGGGAAGTTAATAAGGTACGAAAGAGTGAGGCATGATGCAGCTGTTATAAGTAAGCCGAGAATTTTCCGGTTTTAACCGATAAACACCGATAAACGACAGCTAGTATAAAAAGTAGAAAATCGCTTCAAACCAGAAAAAAGGTTTTTTTTTTTTTTTTTTTAAATTTAGTTTCAGCTAGGATTGTTGTTGTAAAAACTCTCCCCTCTTATAAATTTATTATTTCTAACCGATAATCGCCATTTTTAGCGTGCGTTCCAAGCGGATCACCAAAATACGCGAATATTTTAACAGCCAAATGTAAAAGAGCTGTTTTCTTTTATAAATAAACAACCTTAACTATAGGGGCCCAATCATAAAGGATATTTATGTAGCAAAATTTAAATCCTCATTTTCCTACTGGTCAGTTTTATTTTAAATTAACAGTGTGTTCTAGAGTATTACCCTCTGCTTCTCTTTTAAGTTTGTGTCTTGTGTTAGAGAGTTAGTTTCTGAAGAGATGAGCAGGAATCAAGTGCGCGAGATAGTTAATACCAACTCACAAGCGCCGGTTCTGCTCATTTCCTTTCGCAGCCTGAACGCTATCATCACGACAGGATGTAGTGAAATATGCCTAAATTAGCAGCAACCGATTCAGTTGAGAGTGGTCCGACGCTACTTTGCGTGCGAAAAATGTGAAAAAGCACCAATGGCGCGTTTGCGCTTACAGCTGCGCAGCGTATAGACCTTTGCAAATGTGGCCCTCTGCGCGCTGCCATCTTTGTCTGCTGGCCTGTGGAACGCCTTCTGAGCATGCGCTGTTGGTCTGCTATGCGGTATATTGGATGCTGCGCATGCGTTCACAGCTCAGTGACTCAGCATTTTCCGCCCGGGCGCTTCGTTCGAGACTGCCCCGGGCGCTTCGTTCGAGACTGCCGCTGGAAAGGTCTATACACCAACACAGTGTGCATATAGACAAGCCCATGTCTGCCCACATAAGTTGTGGGAACTGCGCAGGGAGAAGTTAGATCCGCCTGAGATGAAGCATGTGCTCATGTGCCTTACAGACGGTGACAAGTTATATGCAATTGTGTGCGTCTCCCACCGATTTTATGCGCTTTGCTAGTTTTATCGTTTTTCTTTTTATATACAGTTTTCAATGTGTCCACACACTACGACCCGCAATTATTTGTAACGATCGAACTCGAGCCGAGACCTGATTTTGATTCCTTCGTTATTATTTTTGAGCTTAAAGGGCAACTCCACTCAAAAAGTCGACCCTATCGAGATGACTGATATCGCTTTAGGAGGTCAAAATACGGTCATACCCAAAATATCACGTCAAACCGACGCCGCGTTACCGATTAATACCAATATTAGAAATGTTCTCCCGGCTCGGTTAGCGGCCCGAAAGCGGGTGAGCAACGCTGGAACCGGGTGAGCTAGTGAAGCAACACTGGGCAATGACGTAGGTCTAGTCCTACGCTCTCGTACGGACGCCGCGAACGCTTCGTTTCCCGTGGCATTCTGCGATTCTGGTGACGGCACGAGGTGTTTACCACATTATCCTGTGTTCTCCTATTTTTATAAGCGTCCAGGCAGTTGCTTTAATTCCAGCATTGCTTCCGCGACAGCGCGGAAGAGAGCGAAGCGGTGCTGCTCGCTCACGCGCGCGTCGTGGAGCCGGAGAGATTTGCCGGTCTCGCGTTGGGCAATGTCGAGCAGGATTTGTAGTGCTGTGGGTTGCACCAACAACCGGGTGCGCAACCCGGAGCTGCGGTTCCACCAGTTCCCAAGAGACCGGAAGAGGCACAAGGTGTGGGTCGGTGCCGTTCGCCGGATAGACTTCGGAAGACCGTTGACTCCGAACTCCAACGCGAAGCTCTGCTCCCAGCACTTTACGTCAGACACCTACACACGGGATCTGCGGCTGCTGACTGTTGCGGGTTTCTCCACGAAACAGGCGTCCTTGAAGAACGATGCGGTGCCGTCGCTGTTCGCGTACCGCCCGCCGGCTGCTCCAGCACGATCGGCCGGACGCAGCAGGTCGCGGCTGATCTAACTAGCGTGCACATAAAGGCACCTTGGCTTTAACAACTTAGACCACTTGTGGATAGATCTGTCCATCTATCTCCCATTATTTCGTTTTCTCGGTCCGCGCGCAAGAAACAAATACAGTCACGCTGCGTCGGCACCGACCGCGTCATATTTATAGCAGTCGGATTCGCTTTTCGGCCGGCAAATTTATAAATACACACTAAAACTTACTACATTTGATGCATATCAACAAAGTGAAGCGGTAAAAAAAGAAAATGTGCATCTAACCTTTTGTTTTGAAACTCCACGTGCGACTGAGCCGACCTTGTCGGCGCGTCGGCTCAGAAGCGCGGGACTAGAACTAGGTCATGCCGACGACGCGCCACTAGTATCAGTGTTGCCAAGCTGCTTCAACCGGTAGTTTCGGTTTCGCCGTGCCACCGGACCGATTCTTGCATTCGCGATATCTACAAAACTATACACACTACCGAAAAAACAAATTATATCTCGTGATTCAGGGTCGCCGGCTTCGACTAAACAGATCATAACCCAAAAATTGTAAAAATGGAGTGGAGTTGCCCTTTAAAAGGTATAACACGCCTCCCACACCACACGCGGTGGAGTGGATCACGTGACCTATTTTCACCCACGCACCTTTCCAATGCTTATCAATTACGAAAAACAATGCCCAGCCACCGAACTGTGCACTCAGATCTGATATTCCGCTGCAGAGAACTGCTGCGAATGCTCAAAGCGCGTTTCACATCCCAATAGATAGAAGACGGCAGGGCACAGAGAGTGATTTAGGAGTGGTATAGACCTTTGCAAAAATCGCCTCCTGCGCGCTGCCATCTTTGTCTGCTGGGCTGTGGAACGCCTTCTGAGCGTGCGCCATTGCTCTGCTCTGTGGTATATCAGACGCTGCGCATGGAGCCACAGCTCAGTGACTCAGCATCATCCGCCTGGGTGATAAGCGATGGAAAGGTCTATAGACCGACTCATCTCCCTGACGACACACCACAGCGGTGGCGCTGCTGTCGGTACTACGCATGCGCAGACGCTTCACTCCTCCCAAGTTTGGTTTCTGCGCATTCGCAGTGGCCACACCTGGTGTCAGCAAAGCGGGCTTGTTTGTAAACATTGTGTTGGTGCATAGAGTCAACATGCTTCGTTTCAGCCCAAGTCCAGACGCAGCCAGCCATATATACGAGCCGATGGTATACCAATCAAACAGCACCAAAAATGCAAAGTCACGGTTTTTGTCTAGTGTCGTACGTGTTCCATTATCGCTGAACCAATAATGTATACAGGAAAGACCCAGTGACTTGTGCCTTTCACTCTGTTGGATTGGTACCATCGACTAGTAGGGTCAGCGGCGTCTGGACTTCCGCAGGACGTTTGAGTTCACGCTTCTTGCTTCGCGGTCCTCCTTTGGCATTAGAGTTATTGCCTCGATCTCATTGGCTGAGAAGAGCGAAAACATCTTGCGCATGCGTCGTTTGACGTATATACGTCAGAAGTGTGTGATGTTCGTGTACGGCACGCACATAACATCTCGGTCAAGCTGTGCCGAGTCGCGACTCACCTGCCAGAAACCTTCTGAGAGCGGCGAGTCGTCGCTTTTGAAGTAGCGCTCGCAGAGCTTGTAGCCTTCGGAGCCTTCGGGGGCGGTGTTCTTCAGCACGTTCACGGGCGCCTTGCAGCCCCGCATCATCTCCCACTTCTTCATGAACTGGCCCACGTTGTTCACGACCTGACACAAAAGGCGAGAATGTTCACGCTGCGCCATTCGTCTTCGGAAGGCGCCACGTCAACGCCATCTAAAAGAATCGAGGCTTGTGCACTGGAAGCATGACGTCATCACAGTGGGATCAGACACTGATTGGACGCGAGTGCTGCGTCATCGTTTGGCTGGTTCTCGTGCTCAATCAACGAGTCGAAGCTCGTTAGGCATTAGGCTCGGTGCCAACTGCTGGGTTGGCGCTGTCTGACTCTAATCACGTTTCATGAAGGAAGAGGAGGAGAAAATTTAATTCATTTGATTCTAATTCAAACTAAATAATTCCGCCCCTATTTTGCATCGACACGACTCTAGATTATAAATAAGCGGAAAAACTAATCATAGAAACAAGCTGAGAACAGAAACGAGCACAACAACAGATGTATAAAACACCTGTCAAAAATGACGTATTCGATGGGCTCTCCCAACCTTTTTAACAAATGTCATTAAAGTGTCATCATAATAGCAGCAATACCAGGACCGGTATCCATATTTATAGTAATACTGCAATACCTGCGCGCTGCAGAAATAATAAAAAATAAAAATAAACACCTATCTCTGGACCGCAATATTGATCTTTATTTTTGATTGGTCCGATTCATGAAAATCACATCAGAATTACATTTATCGCCATATACTTAAAACAGACAGCCCTACTGATAAACCGATTTCATCCATTCGTCTTCATACAAAAAAAAAAAAAAAAGACGAATGCAAGTTTAAGCTACAGAGGAAGTCTGAACGACTGACCAGTACTTTTATCAACTTCAGCAAGACTTGCAAATTTCTACTCATGTTTGTCTTTGTCATATTTTATTTTATTAAGAACGAAGACCTAAAAGGTCAATCTTGAGGGCCTAATCTGGAGACTTGGCGAAAATGCCGGCGAGAAATCCAGCGGCTATGGTTGGCCGGCACCAAGGTCAAGTGCGGCGTTAGCCAATCACGGCCGCCGGATTTCTCGCCGATTTGTTTTCGCCAAGTGTCCAGATTAAAACCCCTGAAAGAAATGACTATACAAAAAAAAATGGTTAGGGCCGCCTCTCAAAACTTTCCACTGGCGTAATGAAAACCGCGTAGTCACTAAAAGTATACGAAGCAATCGGTGCAGCACACCGCCGTTGCCCTTTCTTAGCTGTGGTCGTGCCGTCAAACTTGAGATAAAACAAAAAATTCGCATCACTTTTGAAAGGCGCGTCGTAAAACTGACTCTAACAAATGAATTCCCTCTAAAAGGAAGTGAAGGTGAGTTCCTCAATACTTGAAAACAGAATGAAATGTATTTAAGTTTCGCTTTACTGAGCAGAGTTGGAGTCGCAAGAGGGACTTGCAGTGGGACACTGAAACCATAAGGTAGAGTGTTCCTCAATGCTTTTTTCCTCTTGATTTTTCTTTAAACTCTTTATATCTCTCTAAATGGAGAGAAATAAAAAGTCTGAATTTAAAACTGAATGCCGCTACTTGGTAACCCAATCATTAATTGATTGCTGGCTATTCAATGCCGAATTGGTCATTGCAGCAGCTGGAATGTCTTCTCCAGGCAGCGTTATGTCGTATACTCACAACATCACCATGTAGTTCAACTGGTAGGCAGAGATATAGTAGAAAAAGGGACAAAAAACAAGCCATAGTCAGGCGGGACTAAGTTTGGGGAGCCCAGTGCATATATACCTTGCGGTTCTGAACTGATCATAAGGAAGTTATTTTCAATGTCATTTAGAGGAAGGTAATCTCTGTGCGAATAGCTCAGAGCATTCGCTGACCTAGCGTGCTTTAATGTGTAGCTGTCGGAACCTTGAGGCATCCTGAACTGACCTGTCCTCGAGGCCTCATGAAATCATCGCTGGGCTCATTGTTGTAGGTGCCCAGAAGCCCAGCTGTGTTCCCAAAGTACCAGCCGTTGATCTTGACCGTGCACACGTCGTAGTAGAGGTGGCAGGCAACCTTGAGGACCTTTTCGTCTTCGATGGTAACGACGTCGTCCACACGCTTCACGATCACATCGCCGTCCTCGAGGATGAGCGGCAGTTCCACCGCCTGACCATTCAGGAACATCTAGAGCAAAAAAACAAAGCGGGAAGCGAGATAAAAGTGTATGTCGCAAGATTCATGCTTTGCTTTTCAGTTACTCGAGATCACGTGACCCGGTCACGTGACGTCTATTTCTCACTAAATTTAGCGGGGAGATTGAAGTCAGTAACATCAATTTTTGTGCTAAATTTAGTGGGGGAATTGACGCGACGATTTTTTTATGACGGTTTCTCGTAACGGTTCTTTGTAACAGTTCCTCGTGATGGTTCTTCTTGACGGTTTTCTGGAGTAATTCGGCAGATAGGGCACATTCTGTATAAAATGAACTTAAACAACAGCACGCCAACTTACAGATCCTTTGTCGGGGAAAACCTCGATGTAGCTTTCTCCGAGCTGCACGATGATGGACTTGGGGATGCGGCCGTCGGGCAGCGGGTTGTCCGAGTGGTACTTGAGCAGGACCGTGAAGTTGCCGTCCACGAAGTCTCGGGCCAGGAGGTAGGTGCAGTCTCCCACCGCGGAGTACATGGATCCGTCGAAGGTCACGAAGTGCTGCTGGCTGATGATCATGGCCTGGCCTGTTGCAAGAATCAAGCGAACCAAACCCTCCTATTCGACATACACACGCACACACAAGCAAACAAACAAACAAACAAATGTCTGTGAGTTTACATTTCATCACAGGGGACAATGAAAGGAACCCAGAGAGAGTGACGAAGTTCAGAATACTATTAAGCCGCTGACACACTGCTCAAACGTCACACAAAAAACACAGTGTTTGCTGCAGACACCATGGCAGAATTATCGGCAGACTCGCCCGAAGCATGATCGAAGACACACCTCACACAGTGACTGCAGACCGTCTTTCGTACAATATATTCGCAACTTAACCGCGGCTTTAAATCTAAAAATACGATTTGCACAGGGACAATGAGCAAGTGAAACGTCACAATCCTTGTCTCGGCGCCCATCGTATTTTGTTACTCTTTTCCGCCAGGTGGCGTCAGCTCATTCTTAATCTTCGCGCATGCGCGTAAGAATCAAACTTTTTGTCGAATTTTTCAAACTTTCGAGTTCAATGTTTGAAAACGCCGAACCTGGTCGAGTTCTAAACCCGGCAGGCTTACTACACGCATACCAATCGGGCAGTGAAGTTTGGCTGAACAGCTAGGTAACGCCATCCTATGGAAAATTTTCTCCAACTCTAAAGTGACCCGCGGTTGCAATCGTCGGACACAATCTCGAGCTCCATAGCCCCCGAGCGCCCAACAGTGACGCAGTGCTCGTGTCCAATCGTACGGTTGCGTGACCTGCTCAAAGTTGCCTCTTTTGGTCACGAGTCGCGCTGACCAGCAGTCGACCCAGCCGTCTTTTTTCACTGCCCTGGGGCTGTGACGAAGGCTGTTGGCCCTGGTGTAGAAATAAAGAGAGCCCTACCTTTTGCATCTATACCCTTCCAATTAGAGCTCATCGCTCTGATGTTCCCTTGCGCTCTCCTTTCCTCCTCTCCCTCAGTTTCTCTCCGTATACACTAACACGCGGCCACGACGTACGTCCCGCTGTTGCGGTGGCACTGCTGTTGACCCGGCGCATGCACAGAAGACATTTCACTCCACGTGAGTCTGGTTCAAGCACACGCGCAATGCCCACACCTGACGTGGCTAAACGTTGACTCGCTCGTTAAACAGCGTATTCGATCTACATGCTCTCGCCGAGTGCCAAACGCATGGAATCCCTTTCACAGCGAATCGGGGCTTTACTCACCGTCAAAAGGAGGCAGCCACTTCCTGCGTGCCAGAGAGCCGATGTAATCGGCGAAGCTCGGCTCGTGTTCGGGCTCTTCCTCGGGAATCTTCCACTGGACTGTCCACTGGTTGATCTGCTGCTTGATGGAGTCCACGTCGGCGGGCAAGTTGACGTCCACGATGTACTTTCCGTTCTTGTAGTCGGCTTCCCGGATGATGGCGGACTTCCGGGCCGAGTACTCGGTGCCGAGGCTCGCCTTCAGCTTGTTCCAGAATTCCGAGTTGCTTTGGTAGGGTCCCTACAAGGGAGACGAAATCCCCAGCTTAATATCAATCATCAGATGCTTGTAAAATAACGAACACTTTCAAAACGTCAATCGCCGTCCAGCAACGGACACAAACGCTCCAACGCTTTCGTACTAAAGCAGGAACCCACTGTTCATACAAAGTACAAAAGAAACGGTCTGTAGACACTCCTCAAGCAAGTTCGAAGCGTCTTTGCTTCATACATATACATACATATACATACACATATACATATTCATATATGCAAACATATATACATATGTTACTCAGAACTTGTATGCAGACTTTTTTTTGTATGACAAATGTGACGTCACACAAAGATGAAAAAGGCATCAGACAGTGTCTTCAGACTGTCTTTTGAATGATGCATTGGCAGTGCGACGGAGGTTTACCAGAGGAGTCCATTGCCTAAAATCGTGCGCTCAGCTTCATGCACTTTCACCTTTGGTTAAACCCTAAACAGGAGTTTTTTTTTTTTTTTTTTTTTTTTTTTTTTTAGTGTGTTTAGACTTTGAGAGGTCCGCCAAATGCTCGATCGGTTTCACGTGGTTTAGGGTGGGCTTCGTTTGCAACACAAGCTGCGAGGAAGAGGCGTGAGTGTCGATCGCCTGCAAGCGTGCTCCGAGCTTTGCTTAGCGTCTCCGACGTACATACGCAATAAGCGATCGATTTGCGCAAGAGGTGTCCGCCGTTAAATTGCGAACGCTCTCCGTGATCTCTACTGCTCCCCCTCTGAAGTCTATAGGTTCTCCGATTTCCCCCTTCCTACTATACGCTTGTTCAAACTTTCAAATTCGGTCGTGTGCAGCGAATGTCCCTTCCGCCATTTCGTCATTTGTGCCACCGATTCGCCCCAGAACAAAAGGGCTGGAAAATTTAAAATAACATATTGCTTAGGATACTTCTATTTTTACCTCGCGCTATGCAAAGCAACATTATCTCCTGTTGGGCGCAAAAGCGAACATGATATATTGCGAAAACACCAAAATTTACAAAAAAAAAAGAATTGATTTGAATTGTGTTTACATGTGTCCAGTCGGTAAAACGTTCTGTAGCGGGCGGATGTATCCGAACAGTTATTTCTAGTTTACATGGTCATATGTAACCCTAAGAATGCTTTACGTTTTCCATAGTCTTCGGCAATATAAAAGCTTTGGTTTGAACATTTCTCCTTGTTTCAGTGAAGAAAGCTGGAAGTTTTTAACTGCACAAGCGGCACAATTTCGTTAGCCGTAAAACTCCTACTTTTATCAAATCGTATAACAATATGCACCCTGAAGGTAACCCTTTTTACTATCCATCTTAAATCTAGTTCTCCCATCTGTTTTTTTTTTTATAAAAATTTGCAGAAGCGAACTACATTAATCGCATCAGGTTATGTTCTGTTCACGCCAATAACATCGAAGTGGAGCATCATTGAAGTGAACTTTCAAATTTCATCGGCGAGCAGTTAACAAGAGAGAAGAAATGCTTCGCCTAGTGTGTACATTGTACATGATGTGACGTAAATATGTTGTCAGACATTTTAATTTGAGATTACTTAGCCACAAACAAAAAGAGAATGATCAATGCCCAACGAGCATAAGTTCGAAGTACACTAACGCCCCGAAGACAAATTCCTCACACTCACGGGCTGGTAGAGTTCGGAAACGATCGACTCCATTGCTTTGTAGTCTGGATTTTCCCGTAATGCTTCCATGCCCTCTCCAATCTTCGCGCTCATCCTGTACATCATCTCACTGATCTTGTCAGACGTGTAGTCCATCGCGTTGTTCATCCAGTTGGAAATCTGCCGCATCATGGGGGAGTTATAGAACTCTTCCATCTTGTTCGACATGTAGCGGTTTAGATCATCCCAGTTGCCAGAGATGTCCCTCCGACGACGGCGGGGGCCCATCGAAGAAGCCATGGACATAATAGGATCAACGATTGCCCGGATCATCTTTTTGATTTGAATATCCAGCTTCCTTTTCATGTCTTCCAGCCACTTCATCATCTGTTCAAGAACTTCACCCCAACTGAAAAGGAAATTGCGCGTCTTCATTTGCAATCTCGCTCGTGCATCCATCGTTTTGTTTGAAAGGAACAGTCTGATCTTAGCCGACGTCGGGGAACGGTCCCCTCAATGAACTACCGAACGCTATGCTCTGAATCACCAAACGGCCTCGAAGCCCTTCACGCTAGCAGTGACTCAAAGCAACTATAAACACCCTGAGCCCCACTTAGTATAACAAGGGGGAAAAATAGCAAGTCATATTTAATGCCTCTGAAACAAGGCTAGAACTATAAACTTATACAGGGTGTTTACCTGGTTATTAACATTTTTTTTTTATAAAAAATGAAGTCGTGAAAGCTACACTAATGTAGTTTGTGCATGTGATTTATACGCGAAAGGGGACATACTATAAGGGACTAGTCGTTACAATTACTCGTAAGTTGAATAATAAAGTAAAATTTCTTATTCATCTTTTAATTAGGAAAAAAATCTTTAGTTTGAAGCTTGCTGAGCGTCATCAAAAGTGACTAACTCTGTAAGTTGTAGAAAGATTTCCTGTGTGCGCTTCGTTTTTCTGAGCCCCTAAAATGCAACCAACTTCAACGCACCCGCGCGGTTTTTCCGTCCCTTATCATCAGCGGTGTCGCGGTACCAGCCTTGCGATTTTTGTAGAAGTGGTAACTTTGTCTTTTTCAAATTTATTGATATGGTAAGAAAGTCTTTCCCAATTTACTGACTTGGTGGATTTCAATGATTATTAGCAAGTTTCTATTTGGAACTGTATGTTTATCTTCAGTAAATAAAAATATTTCGTTAATTAACCGACTCATCGATGGGATTGGTCGACACTACATTATGTCCTCCTGGTCATGCAACTCACCTGTACAGGCCGCATTAATATAACTTTCACTTTTGTTTTCTCTGTTAAGGCTAAAAAACACGAATCCTGTGTATATAAACAGAGCTTATTTACATAAGTTTAGACTATGTATTTAAAAGCTGGACTGCCACCTTAACGTGCTGACATAGAAGTCTAATTTAAATCGTATAGATTTCACGTTAGAGTGACGAGTTTTATGTGTTCCTAATCGCATCTACTCACCTGGTTTCCTCGAGGATTTCGCTGATTTCAATCACAGCCTCCCCCATGATCTCGCCGAACTCGTCCAGTAAGTGATTGTTCAGTGGCTGGACGAAGTTTGTGTCAATGTACGAGTCTGCCTCCCGAGTCATGGCTGCAATGTCCCGAGTCATTTCTGAGATGTCAATTTGTGACAGCTTGTCGTCAACTTTGCTGAGCGCCATCTGAAAACAGGAATAACAATCAAATTAAAATGACTCACTTCTTCAGACTAATGCTCCTGAATAAGAAAGGTAGCGACATCTTCTCGCTCCTCCTTTGACGCGCACACCTTTTTTCTTTATGCTTTGGTTTTTTAAACCCGCGCGTCGACTGTAGCGCCGCCTGGATCTGCCCAAGATAGCAGACGGCCTTCCTATACTTGAGTCAGAGCGCAGTCAAAGGCTGAAAGCCAAACAAATACATACACACAGGCTAAAAGCACTGTCACGGTCTACCAGCCTCCAAGGGTGTGCTCAAAGAAAGATGATGAAAACCGTGACGTTGGACAGTCAGCGTTATTTGATTGGCGACATGAGCTCATAGCATGCACTGCACTCCGACAGCATAGGCATTCCTTCTCCCTCTCCTCTCACGCGGACACCTTTTATCTTTATGTTTTGCTTTATTACATCCGCGCGTCGACTGTAGCGCCACCTGGATCAGTCCAAGATAGCAGGTGGCATTCTTCAAAGGATGTCGCTACTTTTCTATATAGAGGGGCTTTACTTCACACAACCTTCTTGGCCTATAGCTCATGTTAAAACATTCCTCCTTGCTTCGACATTTCATCAAATCCAGTGAAGGTGCGATAGCACTTGACGGGACTTAACTGGGAAGTAGATGCCACGTGCCCAAATGACGTGGTCACGTGACCTCACATAAATCATGTCAGGTCATGTGACATTAATTTCTTCGCTAAATTTAATGGGGAAATCATGGTGACAAGGTCCCATGATCTCAATGTGTCATGTGACGTCACATTTTCACATGACATCACGGTGTTACATGATATCTCAATTTCACTTAATGTGACGTCATGTAATGTCAGGTTACATGAAACCATGACATCATGTCTCCAAACAACGTCATGTGACCTCAGGTGACATGACACCATGACTTGAAACTGTGTTGTCAATTTCCACTCAAAACTTAGCAAAGAAATTGTTGTTACGTGACACAATGATATCACGTGAAATTGCTACGTCATAAGATCAGACCAACATGAGCAAGAAAGGCCCGTGAAGGGTTCCTACATAAAGCTATCGCTTTAAGAAAAATCCTTAACCTTCATTGCTTGGACGTGCTGAGGAGGGAAGAACAGCTTGCTCCTGAAAGCCTTGCTGCCTCTTTTTTCCAAAGCGTAGCTGAAATCCGTCAGTTTGTTGTTTCCTTCGTAATGGCTCATCTCCATCTTGAACATGTCTTTCTTGGAAGAGTTGGACGCCGAGATCTCGAAACTGCGAGCGGTGTTTCCTGAAATAAAGGACATCATAGTTCGGAAATATGGAAATAAAGCTCTCGAAAACCGTCGCTCTACGTCTGAGAAACTTTTCGACTGCAAGAGATAAAACTCCAGATATCAAAATTCAGATGCGGCGAAAACTAAAAAAGTGGCGTATTGAAAAACAAAACTTCCCACTTTCGTCTTTCGTCTTTAAGCGTTAAATATGATGAAGTTTTGAGGCTCAACCACCCAGAGCCCCAATTATGCAGGGTTCCGAGATATTATGACTTTCTGATAACAAAACTGAGTGATAAAGCAGTAAAATAATAGGTCATAAAGAGTTCAGGGTTGAACTGTAAAAATGTTAAAAAGTTGTATTTTTTTAATGCTGGTAACGCCTCAAACCGCCTTTGATTGCTCGCCCTAGCTAGCCTTGGACCAAACCCAGTAGCATCACCAAAGATGTGCACGAGAAAACAGGCATGATGTTTGTATTCGTAAGCAAATTTATTTATTATTTTCACGGCGCAGAAAGCATGGTTTGATTTCCTCGGCGGACATATACAACTTTAATGGTTTCAATATTTCGACAATTTCAATTTTCTCTGTATTCAGAGTGCATTTTCTACTCTGGCAACACTTCACAATTAATAATATACTCCTCTTCACCTTGCGATGGTTTGCAGAGGAGGCTACGAGCCAACGAAGCAAATCCATTGCCGCGTGAGTGACACGTGACATTGGGGAAGGGCGCCACAAAGCGCGCGGAGTGCGACCACGTGACACGTTCACGGGGCTGGTTTGAGTGGGATGACTCGTCGTGCCCGCAGCGGTCCAACGCAGAGAAAAACGGAGTATAAAATCGGAATAATGTATTGTATACAAACCATCCTTGTCGAAAGTGAGTCCTTCGAAGTGATACTTCTTCAAGTTGTAGATCAAGCGGCCTTTGAACTCTTCGTTCTTGCCATGTAACACGACGTCGATGATGTCGTCACCGTTCGCGGCCGTCTGGCTTTCCCCAGACGCAGAGATCTTCCCCAGGAACGAGTCGTACTGTTGGATCAAACAAAATTAGCATTAGAAAAAATGTACTACATAAAATTTGGGAAACAAAGAATGTCAATAAAAATGTATCGCTCCTTTCCCCCCCCCCCCCCTCCCCCCATTATTCTGTGAAAGACAGCACGTGACAAAGAATCTGATGCAGCGTCGAGCTAGACGCTCTGCGCTGCATTGCATTCTTAGACGCTTCAATATACGCAGAGAAGCAGCAAACATCACTCGCAAGGTCTGTACCTCGTTGTGCTCCTGTTTTATTTCGCACAAAGACACCAAAATCGCGCGTTGTAAAAAAAAAAAAAAAAAGAGAGGGAAGTTGGGAAACATTTGTCGAACTACTTCAACTCATGCAAACATGTTCAACATGCAGGCCAGCTCACGCGTACTAATCATGCCGTTTCAACCCTGAAACTGGGAAGGAAACTCGAAGATCTGTTAGAAGAAACAGAAAAAGGTGACACACGCGTCTCAAACTCAACTAAGAAAACTAGTCGCGGCAATGTGAATACGCCTGAACGATTGTCTGTTTTCCTTCTCTGCTTTTCTGTCGCTATCTTTTGCGTTCTTTATCCCGGAAAGCCCAGAAGCTCGCTCTTGTAGCCTCTGCTATGAGTAGAGCGTCGCTATATGTTTAATCGCAGAAGGCAGCGCCGAACTAAATGCGATCGCAGCGCCACGTCGATCGTTGCGGCACCTCCGCGGGAATGAAACGTATCGGAATGGAGAAGACGGAACAGTCGCCCCATGCTGCGGCTCCCTCGTCAACTTCCTACCAGATCATTCCGGAAACGCGTAGCGCCTCCCATCGTCTTTTTGGCGCACTACGGCAATCCGATGTACGGCGCGTGAATGAGTACGCATAAATAGAAGGCACGGTTCATGTTAAGCAGTGTGCAATTTTAGAACATAAAAAAGCATGACGATAACAAAGCGTGGGTACGTATCGGCCTTGTGATGTGTTCTAAACGAGCAGTCGTAAAAGAGAAGAAACTGCACCACCTCCAGGATGCCCGAGCAGGCCCAAGCGTACGTCGTAACAGCCCCACACGTCAACCCCACATTGCACCCCGCTCCACGCGGTGCAATGTGGGGTTGACGTGAGGCATTAAGGTATTTTGCGGAAATGTATATTGCGAAATCGTACGTGAGGAAGAAGGAATTCACGTCGATCTATCGGTTTCATCACGTGACGTGACCCGTGGGAGTAACTTCGACCTACTCAAGCAACGTTAGTAGCACAGCCAACGTAACATAGACAAAATGTGATGCGTACGTAAAAGGGCATTAACAAAGTCATGGTGCAGTTGCCGAAGTCCAGCGTGGGGCACAGCGTTCTGCTGGCACTCGTATTCTATCGGTGAGTACACGAGTTCAAGTCGAACACTAACGGAGTACTCGTGCGACGCCTTCCGTCACTGGAGCACGAAAACTGAAACGGTTAACTGACTGCTACACGACACGTTCTGCGCTAAAACGACAACATGCCACTCACATCAAATTGAGCGCGTCCGTTCTTGCCGAGGAAAAGTATTGCGTGGCCCGCTTTGTGCCCCTGCCTCCGGGTTGTCCATGACCAGTAATAGCCAGCAAAGATTGGGCGTTCCATCGTTGCGGTACGATACATGGTCAGACTGGTGTCGAATATGTTCCGATCTGTCGCGTAAACACAAAACACACAAAAAGTTAAAAAAAAAAACTCCTTCATACTCAGAGCCCAGAGACCCCGGAGTTTGCCTGGGAGGATTGGCAAGTTCAAACAATAACTGTTTAATAACGAACCCGTACGATACACGTTGAGGGAGCGCATCTGTCTTCACGCTCAACTACGACATAACGAGTAGAGGGAAAGAGATCAACTATGCACCGTGTCACTAGTTGTGTGCAGTGCAGGCGAAGGCAACGCCATGCGAAGAGAGAAAGGGCGAGCACTAGGAACGTGGGATGGGAGAGGAGGGCAACGCAGGGCCAAGGGAGAGAGGAAGAGTTCTAGAAACGTTTGAGTGAAAAGGAGGTGTTTCTCTCATCATCCGCAGCCCTCCTAGGACTTTCTGGCGTTGCCTTTGCCTGTACTGCACGCAACTAGTGATACGGTATAACTGTAGCATTGTTGTTTACACAAACGAGTTCTGGCCAAGGTTCTGACTCTTGGACACGGGGCGCCCTCTCTCGGGGTACGCCGTGACTAACGCGATGGATAGAAGGAAGCGCTCTGTCACACTCCGCGTCAGTTTATAGCGAAATCTCCAATAAACTACGAACGCAAAACGTTTCACAGCTGCACGATTTTGTAGGGGACTCACCATGTGACGAAACTGCAAAGTTTTAAAGCAGCATCATTTTATATACATCGTTTCATTACACGGCCGAGAGCAGACAAAGGCTAGAACACACAAACACAACCATATATACTGGGTGGTCCACGAGGGCTTTAAAACGTTTTTAAAAATAAGGTGATTGAGAAGAAAATTAACTCTTTCCGGGAACAAAGTGCCAGACACAACGGATGTCAAGGATTTAAAAATATATATACTAATTAGTTAAAAAAATTAGCTACAGTTTACAAATTAACTTTTTTTAATTCGGGAAAATAAATATATTGTTATGCTTCCAACGGGAGGAACTTTCTAAGCATCATCAAAAAGCGCGCTAAAGCGACTTCTTTTAGAGCGATATAAGACAGGGGCCGTAGGATGGAGAGAAGTACGGCACCCATGTGTTGCACGTCTCGACCACCGGTGAGCGCAAAGATGCGCTCCAGTGGAAAACCAAAGCCTAGAAACGCGTACAAATTTGGCGTGCTTTGGGAAGGTCCTAAAATGCTGCGCCTGGTTTTCGATGATGCTTAGCAAGTTTCTCATTGAAATCATATGTTTATTTTCGGTAATAAAAATGAGCAAGTTTTATTTAATTATTTAGCTAATTCATGTCTTTTTGTTTTGTTTTGTTTGCAATCCTTGACGTTTGTCTTGACTGGCAGTTTGTTTTCACTGTTTTCAGCTGTTTTCACTGAAAGAGCATGTTTACTAAACACGCAAGGTCACAGCGCATTCAATTCGTTTGATCTGTCTTGTCGATGATAGCACGAGCATATCACAATTACGAACGTAATTATCTTGCGTTTTTAGAACTGCTTTATTGGCGTTGTCCACTCGAAGTATCGGCTACGATTGTACTTACCGTTAAACGAAGAATAACATACACCCTCGCACCACCACACGCGCAGGCCCTGATGGCCTACCTCGTGTTAGTAACAAAAATCTACGCATCATTTTGCCAGCGGGATATTTACTCACCTTCATGATGAAAATGAATATGGATGGACCTGTTCGTTGCAATTTGGTCGTCAATCTTTTGAACCATGCTGAAGTGAATCTTATTGGCTGGGTCTCCTGGTTGAATTTCAGCCATCACTTTCAATGGGATCTGTTCGGTAATGTCTGTCTCGATTGTACCCTTGAGAAGTATCTCCTGTCAATGTGCGTAAAGTAACTTGTTAAACCATGCCCGTCTGAGGAGTATTCGGAGCATGATGGATAGAATGGAAACGTAGAAGTGAACTACTCACGTTCAAGAATGTCGGGTGGCTCATAGCCGTGATGACCTGCCAACCCTTTGGAATCTTGTGCCCTTTGTAAGAAAGCATAAGCATTCGGTCCGGCATCATCACGGCGTTCAGCAAGATCTTCAAGGTGACTTCCATTGAATCCGGAGTTTTGATGTAGTCGTGATGAATGTCGATTTCACGCTTAAAGTAAAGCATCTTCATCAAGGTGCTCGATGATGAGTCTCCCTCTGTACGTGACTTAAATTCGTACCCAAGCTTGTTCTCATGCAGAGACCATACCAGCTTGCTCTTGAGCAAACTGTCAGATTTTTGGTAGATGTAGTCAATGTTCATCTTGACATTAGCCTTGGGCTCGATGACGATTGTAAGCTTCTTGTTCATGTTGTTCCAGTCCTCGTTGTTCTCGAACATAATCGAAGCCCAATCTTGAGGGTTGTTAGTGGGCTCGTACCTCATCGCCGTCGTGCGTACACCGTCAATCAGCTTTGTGTCAAGCACAAGATTCAACGGAGTCTCTGGTCCGGTTCGCAGCGAGTAAACCCTGTGATTATCCTGGGGAATCTTTCGCTCAACTTGGATAAACCTGGTAGCGATGGTTGCACCAGAAACCTCCAGCTTTCCCGTGAAATGCTGCTTTTGGTTATCCAATGTTAGCGCAGCAGTTAGTGCGTTGCTTCCGCCTTCGATAACATTTACTGTGTACGTGGAGCTCGCTGGAGAGGTCGATTGGCCGCGAATAATGATTTCCAAGTCTACGGTGGCAGCCGATTTTAGAGACAGCCTGCCGTCAAAGCTTTCTTTTGATACGATACGGAAGTTTCCATTCAGGTCAAACATTGTTTCGTCGTTGTAGACGGTCTTAAGCTGGCCTTCAATCACTTCCCGGTTTGAATTATATCGCATTAGTAACCTTCCATTACGAACACTTTCGTGTGGTGTCATCATGTCCATCACCAACGTAGCCGACTCACGACCTTTCATCTCCCAATTGAGCTTAAAGTTGTAGATTTTATTAGAGGAAGACGTAACTTGCATGTCAAGAATAACGGCTGAAGGCGAATAGTCCCCAGTGATTCTGAGCTCCTGCGAAGAATAGCGCGGGAACGGCGTCTGCAGTTTGATGTTGGTGTTAATTCTGCTGTTTCCGGATGCATCGAAGAACTCAATACGGAAGACCTTGCCCGGAGCGTGAACGTAACTAATTTTGCAGGATATGTCACGGCCGAACATCCTTTGAATGTTAAGGTGTTTGCCATCGATTTCTGGGATAAGAACAGATGTGATCCTCAGGTCGATGTCTTGAACAGAGTGATCCTCCCGCCGAGAGTACTGAATCTTCAACTGGTCTTCTCCTCCCTTGATGTAAGCAAGCATGACGTTGGCATCTGTCTCACCTCGGTTGTACATCATCGACATTGTCCGCGTCGGAGTGTGGTGGCCTCCAACCGAAAAGTCCATCGAGTGAGGCCCCTGTATCATGTTCTCAGCGAAGTTGCCATTGAAGTCAATCTTAAGGTGGGTGCAGTGCTCGAACACTCCGTTGACCTGGTATGTTGGGCGACCTTCTATCGCAGTCTTGATGAGAGTCGACGAAATCCTCATCCTCTGGTTGGTATCTCTGTCCGCATCCCACTGGTACTCTCCCTGAATGGCCATCGAGCGTTGAGGACTTCCCTTGACTTGAAGCGAAGAGACGTATGCCTTGTCAGTGATGAATCGCGGTCGTACCTCGGCAACGTAAGTCACACCCTTGTCCTTTACACTCCTGGACATCATTGTCTGGAAAACTGGGGTGTCAATATTGATCTCGGCCAGTTTGTTTCGGTTCCATTTTGTGGCGACGGTGACGTACTTGGTCCCATCCACTTCCGTCTCCGTAGATGCTTCCATGGCATCGCGTGTAAGCCTGAACTTGTTCTTAAGGTGGGCCGGAACCTTCATGTCAGGGTAGGAAATTCGGTAGTCGACGTCGTAAAACGTGGTGTCTGGGTCTATATTCATCGTGACGAAGTAGTCGGTTGATAACCTCTTGCCCTGGTTTCCCCACTCGATGATCATGTTACCCATGTACTCGTTGTCGCCTCTCTGTTCTACTCTGTCCATGTAGTTGAAGCGAATTGTCGGACCCTCAAGCTTCGCGCTCATTGAAAGGCGCATGGGATCCCGGGACTCGTGGTTGTATTTTGCTTCCCACTCGATGACCTTTGCACCATCGCTCTTCAGCTCACCGCTAAAAAGTGCTTTCGGAAGGCCCTCCATGTCCAGCATGTCGTTGAAGTAGCCATCGAGGTCAATGTTCCAAAAGGGGGCTTCGATCTTCAGCCGTCCCTCGTTGGTTCCCTTGAAGCCCGGGCCATATTTCCCACTCTTTTTCGAGATGGTGAGAACGTGAATGCGACGCTGCTCTTCGGGAAGGTTCTCGCCCCACCAGAACTTGATGTCGTACTCTCGCTGTCCCATGGGCGCTGATTGGATGTCCGCTATAATCTGCGATGCATGAAATCAGAACATACCATGAGCACAATTCAATTTCAATTATTGTCGTCTGAATCTCGCTCTATGTCTGTACAATGTCGCGGCTCTGAAAACACAGAGCTTTTGGTGGTGGCTATTTCGTCTCACTGGCCACGTCGTGCGTCATTATGGCCAAGGAGGTCACTATTTCTGTGAACACGAAGACCTTATAACTCAAACTGTAAAACCTAGCCCCGAGCGTTCACTAAACTATTCCTTCAAGATAAGTGTTCTCTGTAGACGACAACTGTGGTTGTCAACAGCGCAAAACTTCTGCACACAAAAAACAGGGTGTTTTCAATCACAAAAAGGTTGTTTCTAAGAAAACTACATATCGCGCACATAATTATTTATAAAAGCCCTTCAAAGACCTTTGTCAAGAGGCCTTCCTTGAAGAGGAGCGGATGACCTTCAGAATATAACTATATTTATGTCACGGCTTTCCAAAACGGCACTTGTTTAATTTGTAATATAAAATAAAGTTGTTGCTCTTTTAATACGAGCTTAGTGTATGTCAGCTAATACCACTAAATCACACAATCTCCGAAATATTTAAAAAATGTGCTTCGAAAATTTGCTTTGCTCCTTCCCCCTTACATTGCCTTTTTCTGATAAATAAGTAAATAAAATTGCAATTTGAGCACATGCAGTTGAGGAGGAGCAAGGGTAGTGCATACATCAGGCAATTACTTAATTAGGAATTATACATTCCACAAAAATACTCAAAAAGCCGGGAGCCGTCATACATAAACTAAGGACACCGACTTGACATAACATTATAAATTTTCATCAAACGTTTCGCCTCCCATGTGGGAGGCATTTTCATCAATAAGTACAGCTGCCATCTAAGGGCCTATCTCGACACAGTTCTGTTTAGAACTGTGTCGAGAGAGGCCCTTACATTGCTGCTGTACTTACTGAAGATGCCACCCGCATGGGAGGAGAAACGTTTAATGAAATTTTTTTAATGTTATGTCAAGACGGTGTTCTTATTCTAATTTATGCATTCCACTCCGTATATGCTCATTAGACACCTCGCGTACAGCTCCCTATGCCCTCCTAGTGGTGTGAACACATCCCATACGATATAACGCATACGCATAGCGCTGTCCATGCTGTTGCGCAGTTGCGTGATGCTAATGGACAGGGTTGCCCCTGGCGCACCGAGATACCGGGTTTGAAAAAAAGTGCAGAGAAGTCTGTCTCAATTTGCGCTCGAGTTTCCACGACGACTGATGGCGGGAGCCACCCCTTTCAATGAAATGTTGAAAACCCCGAGGGTGCGGCGCGTCCAGCCGTTCCAACTACACAAAGCCTGTCCGCACCAAGACCGTCGAGATTTCAAGGAAGTATATATATTCCCTGCAGTTACCGATACCTTAAGAAACTAAGGCGTGGGGAGTCCTGTCGGCCTGTAATTATGGTGCCTGGAACGCGTCTCCGACTGGTGTGTTTACCGCGCCCAAAACGGGGGTCCCACGATTTTTGCCTTCTGACGTCATAGAATGGTCACGCTGTCGCCGGTCGCGATCCTGGCGGCGTCCCAAAAGCGGTAATGCATCTGGCAGACGCCTGTTCTGCTGTAGGTCGCTCTCCAGCTGGACAGTCCACGGAAGCTTTTGGCAGTCGGGAGTTGCGGACGCCGCGACGGCAGCGACACTCGCGTTCATTCGTGCTTTTTTGGCGAAACTTTTACGACCAACCACCAGGATCGCCACATCCGACCGGCGTTTGAGCGAGAGCTAGCTAAAGTGCGAAGAAAACAAAGAGGAAAGCGAGGACACAAACCCAAGAGCTGGTTGGATAGCAAAGTAGAGGCAGCAATAGAGAAACTTCAAGGGGCATTTTTAGAACATAGGAATTCCATGCGTAGGGGTGAGCCACAGAGTGAAGTGAAAAAAAAAATGGTACGTATTTCTAAGGCTTAGAAAGGAGGCGTTTGTTTGATCACTGGAACAATCAAGAACACTTAGCGCAATGGTTGTTTAAAGTAAACAAGGGTAGAGAGGTAGCGAACTATTTTGGAAACAACTCATTTACTAACAAAACAAAGATGAGTCAGCTTTACATCGCCACACCACAAGGGAAACAACTGAAAGGGGAGGAGGCGATGCAATATATAGCAACGGTGATAGCAGGAAAAAATGAACGAGAAACCATTTATCGCTGGTATTGGAGTATAAAAGGAAGACAGTCTAATTAGCGGACTATAAGCTATCGGACAAGGCGAAGAAGAAAGGGCGGAGCGGAGCCTTCCTAGCGGTGCATCAACAAGTCCAGATGGTATTCCGATGATTTTAATAAAAAGATTAGGTCAAAAATTTAAGGCATCATTAAGGGAGGTAGTGAGCAAATCCCTTATGAGTGGAGATGTCCCAGAAGAACGGAATCTAAATCGAAGGAGTTTATAATTTATTTATTTTATTTATAATATACTGCAGGTTATTTGCAGACCCCAGCAGGGTGGGAAAATATAGAGTGAACTGTAGACAATTTACAACCAATGTACACGGCATTGTCGTAGCATTTTCGCCGTGGTGGGCACGGCGAAAATGCTACGACAATGACGCCTAACATACCGCTCCTATTTGCTCTGCAGTTTCTTCTCGTGGCGAGTGACAGTGGCCTTCCATCGTTCTACCCGAGAGCGACCAACGCAACGCCCGTGACAACGAACACAGCACCGCTGATTACCCTGGCCGCCCCCCTCGATGGCGATGAATTCAACGCTGGAGAGATACCAGGATTTCTGCCGCCAGTGTCGCCGGACACGCAAGCCCCACCAGCATCGACATCAAGCACACTGCCTTCAAAAGCCTTCGCGCAGGCGTTTTCGACCAGTAGGGAGGAAGTGGCCGAGTGGGCTAACGCGTCTCAGCTCGGAGCGTGGAGCGAAAGCTTGTGCTGGGAACCTCCTGGGTTCGATCCCTGCCGCCACCGCCCGTTTCGATCTGGATGAGTTTCGTACCGGCAAGCGTTCGTGTGATCACTACTGCGTGATGCATGTTAAAAACCCCAGGTTAGCGGTTGTACCGCACTGGCCAAATTTCTCATCTACAGCTAAGAGACCGATTACCCGTTGAGGCGCATCTCCATCAAGGCTGTATAAACATAAAGAGCAAGCCAATTTTTTTTTTTCGACCAGTGGGCACGGCGAAAATGCTACGACAATGACGCCTAACATACCGCTCCTGTTTGCTCTGCAGGTTAGGGCAAAAATTTTCGTACTCCGTTAGGGGTAATTACGTTTGTCTTGTTTTGCCGTGCCCACGGATGTGTCTGAAGCGGTTTCTTGACTTCTTGTTACTTCTTAGTGGAGACGTAGAGCGTAACCCTGGTCCCATGTCTAAACCTGAAGCCGAGTCACTAGCGAAAATAGAGTCGCTTGTCAGCGAAATGCATTCCGGCCAAGCAAGCGTGTTGGTTCAGCTCAAAGAAATCAGGGACGAACAAAAACGAACAAATGACTTGATAACCACTCTCACCGCACGTGTTGAAATGATTGAAAGTGATCTGGCAAGCTGCAAATCGAAAATGAACTCGACAGACGAACTTGAGGTGAAATTCGAGTTTGTACTTTCGGAATTGGCCATTCTCAAGCGTCGTTCCGATGACGCAGAGTGTCGTTCCCGTCGACCCAACTTGCTTTTCTTTGGCATAGATGACTCGGCTAAGGAAACGGTGGCTCAATCGGAAAATCTGGTTTTGGATGTGTGCTCAGATAAGCTTGACGTACAAATTGACCCTGCTACAATCGAACGGGCTCACCGCATCGGGAAGTTCGACACCAGCAAGAAAAGGCCTATTGTTGTAAAGTTTTCCTTCTTTAAACATAAGGATGCGGTGCTGGGGTCGTGCTACAAGCTAAAAAATACGGGTATTTCTATCAGCGAGGATTTTTCACAAAATGTTCAACTTGCCAGAAAACGGCTGCATGAATTTGCTCGTACCCAGGGGGGTCGTTACAAACTTCGTGTCGACAAATTGTATATCGGCGATAGGCAATTTTTGTTCGACCATGAAACAAATGAAGTTTATGAAGCCGCCTCCTAACTAACTAGAGATAGCGCGTTTGAATCTGTCCCCTCCGAGCTAAAAAAAAAAAAAAAACGCCGGTAAACACACACCAAGTCCCCTTTCTTTGCCAAATGAGATTTCAGTTATTTTTACTAACATAAGAAGCGTAGTCCGTAACCGCGATGACCTGTCAATAGTTATTGATGCATCATCAAGCGATATTGTTGTTTTGACAGAAACGTGGCTTTCAAGTGTTGTCCGTGATATTGAAATTTTTGACTCCGTTAAATGCTACAATTTTTATCGGAGAACAGATAAGCGTGGGGGAGGTGTTTTAATCGTAATTAATAAAGCCATTGAATGTTATCACGTGAATATTGTTTCCCCGTTGGAACTTGTTTGCGTACGCCTACAGTGCGCTTATAGAAATATTATTTTGTGCGTTTGTTACCGTCCTCCCAACGCTCCTGCAAATTTTTGCTCCTAGGTGATTTTAATGTTCCCTTGATCAACTGGTCTGGACTGTTTCCCGCTGCATCTAGTAGCTCTTCAGATTACTCGGATTTTATTAGTCTCTGTTCTGATTTTTCTTTTTCTCAATGTGTCACTGAGCCTACTCGGATTACTGATGCGACGGCCAATGTGTTAGACCTTATTCTTACAACTGACTTTAATCTCGCTTCTTCTATAGCTTATTTACCGGGCATTAGCGACCATGCTATTTTGGATTTCAGCCTGCAAGCTTCCTCGCATGTTGCTAACAAATCGACCAAACACTTTCTCGATTATAGCAAAACAAACTTCGGTGCAATAAATAAAGAGTTGGCTTGCTTTCTTGACGAATTTTTGCCTGCGTTGTCAGAACGCACGATTGAGACTAATTGGAACATGTTTAAAAACAAAGTAAATTCTCTAATTAATTTATTCATTCCGTGTAGGAATATCGTATCTAACCACATGTCTCCCTGGTTTAATGTAACTCTTAAGCGCCTTGCTAATAAGAAAAAACGCCTTTTCCGCGCTGCAAAGTTGTCTGGCCTTGCTGAGCGCTGGGAGCTTTATAAATCTGTTGTCAATGCTTATAAGGCAGCCATGAAGCAAGCAAAACTGACTTTTTTTAATGTTACCCTTCCTTCGATGTTAGCTAATAGCCCTAAACAATTTTGGAGCGTTATGAACGGGCCTAAAGGAATGGCTGTATCGCTCACTGATGTTGAAGGTATTGAAATTCCGAAAGCTCAATGTGCATCCATTCTGAACGACGTTTTTGTCAAGGCGTTTCCTGATAATGATGGTTTAGATTATTCTACTTTTCCAGATTATGCATTTTTTCCCGTGGATCCGCTTGCTCTTGATTACGACGGGATTGTAAAGTTGATCGATAATTTGAAAGTTTCTTCCTCGCGTGGTGTTGACAACATTACCTCTAAATTTCTAAAGAACGCTAAACATTACCATGTCAATTTTTCGTACAAAAATGTTTGAGCAGTCACTCAACCTTGGTGTCTTACCGGATGATTGGAAAAAAGGAAAGGTGGTTCCACTTCACAAGACAGGTAACAAACATAGTCCTCTTAATTACAGACCCATTTCGTTAACCAGCACCCCCTGCAAACTTTTAGAGTACATTATTTATTCTCACTTAGTTAATTTCTTAGATTCAAATTTCACCCTCACAACATGGTTTTCGCAAATCTTTCTCTTGTGAGACTCAGCTTTTGTCTTTCACTAATAACGTACTTTCCATTCTTGACCGCGGGTCCCAGGTTGACTGTGTGTTTCTTGATTTCGACAAAGTTTCTCATAAATTATTACTTTTTAAACTTAGCAAACTTAACATTGATCCTAGTGTTTTGTCGTGGATTACATGTTTCCTAACTAATCGATCTCAATATGTTTGTGCGAATAAAACTAATTCTTCCCTTAGTCCTGTTACCTCTGGTGTCCCACAAGGTTCCGTTTTAGGACCTCTTTTGTTCCTGATTTATATAAATGACTTACCACTGTGTGTATCATCCTCAATAAGTTTAATTGCCGATGACTGCGTAATTTATCGTGAAATAACTAACGATTCTGACGCAGCACTACTTCAATGTGACCTGCGGGCTGTGTCCGTATGGTGTAACTTATGGAAAATGACTCTTAACACTAACAAATGCAAATCCATGAGGGCTTCCCGTCGGAACACGTCCCCATCACCATACTCAATTTCTAACAACCTACTGGAATCTGTGACGTCTTACAAATATCTTGGTGTTCACATTACTTCTAACGTTTCATGGAAATTACATACTGATCATATTATCGCTAATGCTAACTCTATGCTTGGCTATCTGAAAAGAAACTTCTCTTTAGCACCAATATCATTAAAACTGCTTCTGTACAAAACTCTAGTTCGATCAAAATTAGAGTACGCCTCATCAATCTGGGACCCCAGTCACACAACGCTTGTGACTAACGTTGAAGCTATTCAAAATCGTGGTGTACGTTTTATCTATTCTTACTATCATCGCACCGCTAGTGTATCATCTATGAAAACCTCATTGTCCCTGCCTCTTCTTTCCTTACAGCGAAAAATATCTCGTCTGTGCCTTTTCTACAAAATTTATCACTTCAACGCTTCACTAAAAGATAAGTTATTCCTTAACCCCGCATATATCTCTTCACGCATTGATCATCGTTTCAAGGTCGGCATTCCTCACTGTGAGACATCAGCATACAACGACTCCTTTATACCAAGAACGTCTTCTGAGTGGAACCACCTTCAAGCATCTTTAGCAGCTATCCCATCACTTGATTTATTTAAAGAAGCGCTTACTAATCACTTTTGTTAATATTTTGTCGAATTGATTGTTTTAATCACTGCCTTTTACGTTTGTATTTTCTTTTGAGTGAATTCTTATATGCCCCACCCCTCTGTAATGCCCTATGGGCCCTGAGGGTATTGAAATAAATAAATATATAAATAAAAGGAAGATCAAGTGGACATAGGCAGTTACCCTCCCGAATCGGTAACTTCGATTATTTACAAAATGCGACACTGTGGACGTTGCGGTTAGCTAGGTGGCGCAAGATGCCGCCCATTACACAAAGGTTCGTCACAACTTATTTATGAATTCACCCATTTATACACTCAGCGTCGTTGCAAGCGTTGGAGGAAGAGAGGGTAAAATATAGTCAGATTTTATTTGCCGAACTTTTATGCCGAACATTTGAATTTAGCTTTCCCAATCACGCGTGCTAGTTTTATTTTGTTCCCATAAACGACATGCAGTAAGTATGATGTCTACAATCGTTTAATTTTTACTTTAAAACAGCAAAGAGGGAAATATGGCGAGCGGGGATGTAGACTAAATATGCTCTGAAGGCTTATAAAAAATACATATAAAATGGATATTGATCAGGAAGGCATCTATGACAGGATACAGGGGAAGCTTGTTGTTGTTTGAGGCGAGGACAGGGGCGTTGCGAACCAGGGTGTACAGAGCAAAATGTCAGTACATAGATACTGTGTGTAGGGCATGTGGGATAGAAAAGAAGACAGCTGAACACTTAATCCTCTTCTGTAAAGGGCTTCACCCTGCAGTTGTTCATGGCGAAGAAACCCCCTCCGTTTCTGAAGCTGTCAGTGAAAATAGTGACAACATTTGCGTCAGGCGTCCGTAACTTCCCGTCGCAAGAACCTTACCTGCCAGTTGTACTCTGGATACCGGCTCATTTGCATCTCGGTATTTACGGTCGCCTTGAAGATGTGCTCGGTGCTCAGGTCCTTAAGCTTGTGGTTGAACGTGATCTGGTGCTTCCGTTGCCCTTCCCACTGATACTGCACGAAGGCGGAGCCGATGGATGTGCGCTCCTGTGTAGTGAAGGTGACGCTGGCGTCCCAGTCTAGCAGCACCAGACTGCCCATCGTGTCTATCTGCAGGTTACCTCCACTGTTCTGCACAGATCCTGCGCACAGAGAGAAGATACTTGAGTCAGTTGCAAGGCGCGAGATGAAACGTTATGTGATCAGTAAAAAATCAAACATATGCCCCTGTAAACAGCGTTCTTAAATTAGCCCCCAATATTTATCGTAAATTGTTATAATAGGGAGTTTTAGGGAACCGTTTTTACACATCCGATACGCTACAATGGGCTTTCCGGTACGAACTGCGCATATGGGAGACTTCTGTAGTAGCGCATGCGCAGTTCGCACCGAAGGGTCCATCGTACCGTATCGGATGTGCAAAAATGGTTCCCTAAAACTCCCTATACATTGGTTTCACTGACGTAACATCGCATACTTTTAACCACCATGTAAGAGGAGGAGAGGGAAGCCGCTCTGGTAAGAATTTTGAGAGACGGGTTAACCTTCTATAATCTTCTGGGAGGAGGATAGCGACGTCGTGCAAATCCGGAAAACAGAAAAGAGGATCCTGATAAGGAGGGAGCTCCCCCTTTCCCTCTTCTCTGGTGGTCATCCGAGGGCTCTTTGAATGACGTCACGTGCAACCCATGTATTGACTACGTAGCTAGGGTTCCTTGTTTACGATATACACCAATAAACCCCCTCAAAAGATCCCCCGAGCCACTTTGATCAAAATCGAGGAAAGCCAAAAACCCTCAAATTTGAGTTGTTGTTCTTGAATAAAAATAACCAAGCTACACGGGAACAAGTTTTAAATTACAGACATATTTAGTCTTGAACCGGGGCGCAGCCAGCACTGAACTCTCCGTGAGGCTGCTGCGTTCTTCGGGAACAACACCTCATATGTCGTTGGCTTCACGTATAGATTTTTGCATCGCTTATCACCTGGGCAAAACATTCCGAGTCACTGAGCTGTGGACGAATGCGCAGCGTCCGATATACCACACAGCAGTTCAACAGCGGATGATCATAAGGCGTTCCACATCCCTAAAGACAAAGAGGGCAGTGCGCAGAAAGACGATTTCGCAAAGGTCCATTGCTACCGTGACGATTTCCAAGTATTCGAGTCATGCCTACGCTTCCTGAAGGAGGAAGAATTCCACATCCGCGTTCTCTTTTCTTCAACCTATCTGCCCGGATAAACACCGATCTTGCCCGACACCGAAAATTGAAGCTAAAAGAAACACCGAATCTGTGGAGAAAGTTAAACCCCCAACAAACTCGCCCCGAATTGGAAGGAAAAAAAAAAATCATTCCGGAAACACAGAACCTCTTGCATAGGAGTCGTGACATATATTAGTCTCACAAAACGCTACCTTTTCATTGAATCTGAGCTCCTGCAGGCTATCAAGAAGCATTTCAAGTTTAGGAACGTAAGAACGGTCAATGAAAAAGATGGTTAATAGTGTATTTAGATGGCACTGTCGCGTGCACCGCAATGTGTTTTACAATGTACAACAGACATAAAACCAAGCACACTGCAGCATAGTTAGGTTGGCGAACATTTTAACACGTTCAGTAACCTTACATTGGTTGCAGTATGACCAGGTTACTGTACTACTTATATAAGGTTAAAAAAAATTAAAATAGCCCGACTTTAAGCATTGAGTATAGAATGCTCTACCACGTGCAACGATGTTCAAGTATGAACATCAACCTGTCTGCAACGCTCAGATGCCTATAATTATGTGGCTTTTATAGCAACCTGCGCCGCAGTGTGCACTCATAGTTTAGTAGAGTATTTAATTTTTATCAAGTGTAGTTCAGTACTAAGTTACGCAAGAGTGTTCTACGTAAAGGGGCACTGACACATCGAAATCATATTTTTTTATTGTTTTAAACGATCGAAAACGATGCCTGGACATTACCCTCAAAATTCGAAACTTGGGAATTCAGTATTTGTGAAGTAAAAAAACAATTTCCAAATGCCGAATTTGAACTTCCCGCGCGATCCTCGCCAGTGGAGTGACGTCGTCAAATTTCGAGGGCTCCCGAGAGTCGAGTTTCTTTCGCGCCTCCGCTCTTAAACGTGTCTCCGCGAACCGAAGCGAGGAGAGAAGGGCGCCGGCGTCGCGGGAACTACCGTACCGGGAAACCGGTTTCCTGCGTGAGTGCAGTGCTGCCTATCACTTCGAGCAGACGACGGTGCCCCGGTGGTGTCACAACCGAAACTGCGATACAACGACACAAAACCCAGTTGTTTCGACCGTTTGACGATTTCCTTTTCGAAGTCTGAGAGGTCGTCGGGCACCTATAGATATATATATATATAAGGCCACTTCGTCCGATTCCCTGACCCACCAATCACCGTCTGTTACATGCGTCGAGCGCCGCCATGTTTTCCAAGGCTGGATAAAAATCCACAAGGCAAACGCAGGGACACTGATCGGACAACGAGTGCGCCTCAACCGAACGCTAACGCGGCCCTTGTACCTCGTACCTCGCCGTTTGCCTGTACCTCGCCGATTGCCTGTTTGGGTGACGGCGAAAGTTTCAACCTCCGGCCTCGCTATCTAGGAGATTGAAACGAGTCGTGCGTTGGTTTATACGCTAACTATTTATTTACATTATTTACACGTTGGTTCTATGGACTGTCGAAGTATGACATGGCTGCCGTGCTGATCACCCGAGCAGAAGTGTCCGAGCGCCCTTGGCGTCTTCTTCCTCATCCGCTGCCGAGGTTTATATGGGGTCGCCACACTACTCCCCCTTCAGTCTGTAGGACGTTTGTGGAAGAAAGAAATGCACCTTGCGTCGCGGAAAGGTGCTGTGGGACTGACTCATAGTAGTTGTGGAAAGTTGGGTGGACTCCATGTGGGCAGGCTTGAGTCTGTCAATCGATATGGTTTGTTGCTTGCCGTTGACCAACACTTCGAAATATTTGGGAGTCTTCTTCGTGACTAAGTACGGTCCATGATAAGGAGGTTGAAGGCCTCGGCGAAGAGTATCGTCTCTTACGAAAACGTGGCTTGTCTTGGTAAGATCCTTACTAATAAAAACTGGCCGTGGCGATCGCCGTCGTTCTCTTGTCGACGGTCCTCTGCAAGGTCCGTCCGACCACGTCGTTCCTTGAGCCTGTGTAGGCGCCGCAGAATCTTCCAGTCGAAGTCCAACAACAGGACATTCATCTTGCGACACTTGTAGCGGCGATGTCAAAACTTCCCGACGTTGTTCTTCAATGGAATCTGGTCCAATCGTAATTTGTATTGGCGTCTCCGAAGCTGCTAGGCGATGTTCGTCAACCGAGTCTGCACCTCCAGAAACTTGACATGGTGTTACCAAAGCTTCGCGATTCTCCCCAACGGAGTATTCGCCTTGGTTGTCCGAGACGGTTCTCCTGGCTGACTGTTCTTGATCTCCAGGAACGGGTAGCAAGGGTGGCAACCGTTTACTTCTTTCCGTGACGCACTCCTCAGGCACAGCCACCAGTATGGAGGCATTCCAGCTGCGTCCGTCTTCCAAGCGGAAAGTGCCTGGACCCACCTGTTTTTGTATTTTCAGTGGTCGGGAATATGATAGCTCACCCTTACCGCCATTTGTGGGTTTACGAACCCGTACGAAATCTCCCTCTTTGAATTTTGGAGTTTTGGCACTTCTTTTCGCATCTGTATACTCCTTCGTCGAGCGTGCTTGCTTTGGACACGAGCTCGTAACTGTTCCATTGCCGTGGCTGGCTCCTGGAAGAAGTTCTTTGACGGAAGGCCCATGATGTCAAGTCGGGTCCTTGGTTGGCGACCGTGGAGGAGCTGAGCAGGAGACACTCCTGTGGTTGAGTGTGGGGTAGACCGATATACGCCCAAGTAGTCCACGACGGCTTCTTTAAGCGGTCGTCCTTCCAAAACTGAAACTTGAATAAAGTCCTTCAGGCTCCTGTTGAATCGTTCGACCAACCCATTGGCCTGTGGGTAGCATACCGACGAGACACAGTGCTTGATTCCTCTTTGGTTCAGGAAGTCTTCAAAAAGCTTCGACTTGAACTGTGGCCCGTTGTCTGTTACGAGTTCTTCCGGATAGCCCTCCCGACTGAACACGCCTCGCAAGAAATCTATCACCGCTTGTGACGTAACTGTACTTGCAAAACAAACTTCCGGCCACTTGGAATGGTAGTCCACAAGGGTGACGACAAACTTAGGACCTGCGGTGGTCAGGTTCAGCGGGCTTACGATGTCCATAGCCAGCTTCTGCCAGGGCTTTTCCGGGAGAGTAACTGGACGTAGTGGTGCCACGACCGGTTTGGCTGACTTGTCGGCTGATTGGCACACGTGACAACTTCGCACGGCACACTCCACCTGCCTGTCCATCCGGGGCCACCAGAACTTGTCTCGAAGTCTTTGTTTGGTTTTCACGATGCCAGGGTGTGCCTCGTGTGCAAAAGAAACCAAGTCCGAGGTCAGCGAATCCGGCACAACAACTTTGTCTTCCCTGAAGACTATGCCATCCACCATGGACAGTTCTTCCCTAAGCTGGAAGAAAGGCATCAGCTCCTGAGTGAGCATCCTCTTTGCCGGCCATCCCTTCTCAAGGTACTTGGTCACTAGCTGTAGGGTAGAATCCTTGGCCGTTGCGACTTGCACTTGATCCTTGGTGATGCAAGATGACACTAAAGACACAACTTCTTCCTCCATCTCTGGCTCTGCTGCTGCCACCAAAGGTAGTCGGGACAGCGCATCTGCGACAGCATTGTCGCTGCCTCTGATAGACGATGTAAAAATTGTAGTTAAGGAGTCTCGCTGACCACCTTGCAATTCGTAGTGGCCTCCTGCCGGAACCTCTGGACGATAACAGAGTCACAAGCGCCTGGTGATCCGTTCTAAGTAGGAACCTTCGGCCCCAGAGGTAGATGTGCCAATGTTCACAAGCAAACAAACACGCCAACGCCTCCTTTTCCCCAGCAGAGTACCTCCGCTCAGTAGAAGTCAGTGACCTGGATGCAAAGGCCACAGTGTGTAGCTCTTGCCCAGCTTGTTGCTGAAGGACGGCTCCAAGGCCAGTGTCTGATGCATCGGTAGTCACAACTACTGGAAGGTTAGGGTCGAACATC